GAAGTTTTCCTCCTCTTAGTTGTTATTTTTTTTTCAATATTTATTTTTCAGTTTTCAGCAGACACAACATCTTTGTTTGTATGTGGTGCTGAGGATCGAACCCGGGCCGCACGCATGCCAGGCGAGCGGGCTACTGCTTGAGCCACATCCCCAGCCCCCTCTTAGTTGTTCTTGTAGGGTATTTTGGTCACAGAAATGAAAAGCTGATTAACACAGGTCTGAAGCTTTGCTCCATTCCTGGGACCTTGATCTCCATTGGGGAGAATGTGAATCATTCCCTTGGGGGTGAGGCGCAGTATGTGCAGAGGACAAAGGAAACAAAGTTGGAAATTTAGGAAAAAAAAATGGGTTAGAGGCTCAAGGCTCATAAATAATAATAACCATTCTTCTTCCTTCTCATCCTTCAGCTGATGTCAGGTAAAGAGAGGTAGGTTTGTTACAATCCAAGGTCCATGGCTCTACATCATGGCCCCTGCAGTACTTCAATTTTCAATAATCACCCAAGCCCTTCATTTTTAGGGGGTAGCTGCAGTCTAGACACCAGAGATAAATTTTTTTAACAAAAAATAGGATTAAGTAAAACCCCTGTTAAAACCTTTTTTGTTCCTTCTCCAGGGGCTACATGAGCAGCAGTCAACCTCTCATTCCCTACCATTTCCTGGTGCCAGACATAAGGCCCACAAGGAAGGTTTCTTGGGTCACACTCCCAGACTGCTGTAGACACTCACAGTTAGACCATGCTCTCTATTCCACACCATGTCCAGGACCTGTCTGTTTTTTTGTTTTGTTTTGTTTTTTAGTACTGGGCACTTAACCATTGAGCCACAAACCTAGCTCCTTTAATGTTTTATTTTGAGACAAGATCTCACTGAATTGCTGAGTCTGGCTTTGAACTTGCAATCCTTTTGCCTGAGCCTTCCAGGTTGCTGGAATTATAGTCATGCGCCACCATGCCTGGCTCCCCTGTCTGATTCTTTTTTTTTTAAATTTTAATATTTATTTTTTATTTTTTTTTTTTTTTCCGGTGGACACAACATCTTTGTTTGTATGTGGTGCTGAGGATTGAACCCGGGCTGCACGCATGCCAGGTGAGCGTGCTACCGCTTGAGCCACATCCCCAGTCCCCCTGTCTGATTCTTGCACCTATGAGAGAAGGGCAAAGACTCAGTTATAAAGAGAGACCTTAAATCTGGCCCCCAGAGCTGCAACATCATTGCATTGTGTCCTATAGTAAGTTACTTAACCTCTCTGGGCTATTTCCATATAGGTTGAGTTAGAGCAACAGTAGTACCTGCTTTGTAGGGTGTTTGGGAGAGCTGACAAGTTGGCTTTTAGATGTGATAAGCTTAAAACACTTGGAACACAGCACACTCAAAACACCTTGCCTGTGGCCTTTCTCTTGACTTTATCCTTGGTACTTTTATATAGCAAGTAGCAGAAACTCACTCAAGTTACATGGGGGCAAGGGGAGGGGTGTGAACATAAGGCCTCCTGGTGAGGACATGGCACTGGGGGAGGTGCCTGACTCCCTGGGGACTGGATGGCTTTGCTGTCAGAGAACCACAATCTCCTCCCTTCACTTCCCTTCACCCTCAGCTCTCTCATCAATCCTGACTTCCACCTTCACTCAGCCCATAAGAGCCCTCTACTTCCTCATCATGTGGACTTTCATCTTCTTCTCCAGTCCAATAGTTTTGTTACTTCTGGGTCAAACTTCCTAAGAAAAGTCATCTATTACCTAAGGGCCATCAGGGGCCTTGTAATCAGCTGCCATCCTTGGCTCAATCCACTGGGCCAGGAAATGGGATGACACAATCCAAACAGCCATCAAAACTCCAAGGGCATGGGGCTGATCCTTTCTGAAAGCACGGTGGTTGTGGCAAAGGATGATTGACAACCTCCCCACCATCCCCACTGTGTTTCTGAAGCCTCTGCCAAAGCATCAAGAAAAGCCTTCAGAGGTGGAGAAAACAGTCAAAATCCCTCCCCCTCCCATTTTATAGTGGAGGAAACTGATGCCCATTCCAGGCAAGGGACTTGCTCCACATCTAATAGCCAGTGAATGGTGGAATTGCAGTTCAAGCTTTCTGGTTCCCCCACTCATCAGATGCCCAACAAGCTGCTCTTCCTGTCCTCAGAGAATGAAGTTGAAGCAGATGAGGAGAAGCAACAGGGACTAACCCAGCAGCATTTTTGCTGCATGGTTGAATGGCCTGGGCCTGCTATGCAGATTGTTTTTTCCAGAGCCAATCCACCCAGTGGAGCAGAGCCTCTTATCAGCCCATGTTCCTAAGGAAATGGAGGTTCCAGGATGTTTTGTTTCTTGGCGAAGCCAATGAGCTGGTACAAGTCAGGGTTTGGATCCACACGGGGTTCCCTCTGAACCCAGAGCCTTTGCACATCCACTAAAGACTGAAGTTCACCAACCCCCACCCCCGGGATGTCGGAATGGTGTGCAGGAGTGGGTGTGCTAGGGGCTGCTGTGGAGGGACTAGTGAGGGCCCAGGGAGCATGGGCTAAGGATCAGGAAATCCAGAGGCCTTTTTTTTTATCCCTCCATCTGTTTCTGAATTTGGGGCAGATCCTACATCTTCTCTGGTCCTCAGCCTCCCTGTTAGATGAACATCCCATTCACCTTCATCTAAGGTGGTTGTCATGACAACCAGACTTCCCAACAACCAGGCTTTTGGGAACCACAGAGTCTGGCTGGCATGAAGGACCAACCCAGAAGGTGGTTCCTAAACTTGATCTTGTAAGCAGGGCAGTAAAAAGGACAGGTCTGGGCTCTGGAATCATCAGTTAGGGAATCCTGGACGTAATCTCCCTAAGCATCAGCAGTTTCCTCCTTGGAAAAAGAGAGATACGAACAGAATATACCTCCACAGGTGCCTGGAAGGATTGGAGGAGGTAAGACATGTGAAGGGCATTGAACTGTTCTCACTTATAGAATGCACTTGATGAATATTAACTTCATTGTTAAGCTAACCTCAGTCCATGGACAAGTACATATTTTTAGTGTATTTGCATAGGCATTTTTCTAACATATGTGTTAGCCCTTTATATGTAACTAACCACCCTAAAATGGAGTGATTAAAAACCATATTTTATTTCTCATTAATCTATAGGATGAAGACAGCTCTTGCAATCTCCTTTGGGCAACTGTTGTTTGCTAATACAAAGTCTGGCTCGGGTTGACATCACCCTTGAAACCAGGCACATTTATCTATTCCATTAAATGTGCTTAGGCACATTTATCTATTCCATTCCCTGGGGCTATGTTAGCTGGGCATCTGTGGTTCATTCAAGGAAAATCAGATCCAAGATTTTTATCCTACTGAGACTGAGGAGATACAGGTAGTGGAAGCTTCTTCTGCCGTTGTGAGCTAACCTGAGGGAAGATACTGCCCCCTTGAGTCCTCAATTCATGCAGAGTTTGAAGCCAGGTCCCACCTGGGTTTTCCAGTTATGTGAAAATCAGCCAACCCCTCCACCTTTTCTTTTTTTGTTTTATTTTGTTTCATTTGATTTTTGGTACTGGGGATTGAACCCAGGGGCACTTTACCACCGAGCCAAATCTCCAACCCTTTTTTTATTTTGAGACAGGGTCTTGCTGAATTGCTGAGGTTGGCCTCCAACTTGTGATCTTCCTGCCTCAGCCTCCCAAGCTGCTGGGACTACAGGTGTTCTTCACCATGGCTTTTGCTTATTTGTCATTTGTAAACAAAAAAAGTCCTAAACAGATGTGCCCAGGAAGTGAATGATCCAGCAATGCCTTGTGCCTGGCAAAGCTGTCAGACAGCTCAAATTTGCTCTTTGTGCCTCTGTGGATTAGAAATACTACTCTATAAATTATTGAGTCAAAATCAATTTCAGACTTCTGAAATTATGATTTTGTGCAATTAGTCTGTATGCAGCTTTGAGAGCTTGAGAGTAGAAGCTGGGTCTCATCCATCTGTGTCCCCATCAGTTCACTTGGGGCAAAACACAAAAATGCTCCATCCTTTCTTGATGAATGAATGAAAGCCTTCTGATTTGGGATTCTCAAATGAGTGCTATTGCTGGGAGGAAATAAACAGACTGTGGAATGCATAGCAAATGTGTGCTTTCAGGAGCAGAGGAGTCTAGAATCAGCAAGAGGCCACCACTGAGCAAGTGAGAGGTTTGGGTAGAAATGACGACAGAGCTGCTTCCGGAAAAAGGCCCCGTTCATTCTCTCCTGCAAAGAGGCCCTCATGTGAAGATCCATCTGCCCAGAAAGGACAGGTCAGGAATCTGCCCTGACTTTACCTTAACTGTGAGATCTGTCACAGGCACACACAACGAGGAACAATAGGATGCATTCGTAAAGAATATGGAGTCCGACAGGACTTCAGAGTTGGACAGATGGGGTTCAAATCAAACTAACTTTGGGCAGGCTGCTTAACCTCTCAGAACCTGTTTCTTCTTCAGCAGAATGGAGTACAATCATGGTACTTAACCCTCAATGGCTATTTTGAGAGTTAAACGAGAAAATGCATGTAAAGGTGTAAACCAGTGCCTGGGACAGAAATAAATGGTCTCCGAACAGAACATACACAGATTGGGGTGGGGGACAAAAAGGTCCCAGAGGCCATAGCACTTACGTTTGGAAAATAAACACTAAAATGTTGTATGTGGCGTGACATTAGAAATCAGTACCCTGTGGTCTCTGGCAATTTGTCATATACTTTTAAAAACACTTTCTGCTGATGACAGCTCCCACTCCCAGTTGGCCTTTGCTTTGACATTTCCAGTTGTTTTCCCAGCAGACCTTCAGTAGTTACCTTCTTCAACTAGCTCTCCATCCAAGTGATCCTTGACCTTCACCTTGTTGGATCTGAACTAAAGGACACTTCAGAGATGGTTACCTGGGGAAACATGCAGACAGAGCAGGCTGGAGAGTAGGAAGGGCCACCCCTCACCACCACCACCAGGACCTCTCCACCCCATCGGATGTGCCTTTCAATAACCACCAGAGCAAGTTTGAGAAAAGTTAAGCTGTTTTATTTCACAGGCTAGCTCCACGTCAAACCAGCAGGCACCATCAGAATACGCAACAGAGGATCCATATCAGACACTCCTAGAGGACGGGCGTTTGGTCACAAGGTAGAGAAACGACACCTGGAAAAGGGCGACACTTTTCATCACGTGGGGACAGGCAACCAGCAATTTCCTAGGGTGGTTTCAATTTGTTTGTTTTTCCTGTCACAATTTGGGGGAGGAAGAAAAACCAAAGGAAACAAAATAGACCAGCCACTCTGAAGCAATCAAAACCAAACCTATTGCCAAACCATGTAAACAGTCACACTGCCGGGACAAGGGCCTGAGCAGAAACTCTAGCCAGGATCGACTTCCGTTGAAGGAAGGCAAAGTGCACGCTGGTTCAAGAATAGCTTTGTTATTTGTCTGGGACAGTTCACACAAAAAGGAGGTGTCAGCAAGGGGCAGCGGTGGCCATTTGGCCAGTCCCAGAGGATGGGACAGCGGGACACTGGCAGATCAACCTCAGAGAGGCCAGGAGGACTCAGACCTGACAGCAAAGTCCCTTCTCTCAGCTCCCCTGGGCAGCTTTGGGTATGTGGGGAATTCTCTACAAGGCTGCTCAGAAGAGAGGAGACCCCAGAGAACCGGGGAAATTGACATGAAACTTCAGCATTAGCTCTGCACAGCAGAAAATCAGCTAAGCAACACCTCGGCTCACCCCTTTCTGACTTCTCCCCCACCACCCAACTCCCTCCCAGCCCAACGGGGCCACCACTGTGGCTGTGAGCCAGCCTGTCTTCCTTCTGGGTTTCTCAGGAGAATGAGGCATTTGTTCTAGTGTGAACCCATCTGGATGTGTGAAAAGTTAGGAGTAGAAGGACTGAAAGGAAGAACCTGTGCACGTTAGTCCTTGTGGTTGCCTATCAGCTGCGCACGCACGGTGAGACAAATGATGACCAGGTCACAAGAAGTCCCCACATCCATGCCTCCTGAATGAGAAAGAAATATACCCACCAAGGCACTCCAGGAGATGCCAGCAGAGAAGGAGGCCCTGCAAAGAGGCCCTTTCCCACACTGGCTCCCCGTTGTGCACCACAAGCCAGTTTGAAGTGTCTGTTTATAAGGCAGATCTCTGAACTGCTGGTTCCAGCCAGTGGCCAAAGAATGGCTCAATTTCCCTGTGTCTCTTCCCACTCCGATTTCTTCATTGAATAGAAACCTTTCGTCCCTTGGGAATCCATTTCTCTCCTGACCCCTGGCCTGGTGACTTCAGAGAAAAGACTCCCGAGTCTCATTCCCAAACCCACAACTCCCTCCAGCTGTGCGCTCTGTCCGGGGTTCAAAAGGCGCTTCGAGGTGAGAAATCGTTAGCACTGAAAACAAGGAAAGGCAAGAATTTTTCATAGAATCCCACAGCTCAGAGCAGCTCTTTTAAGAGGAAAGGGGCAGAAGAGGGTATAGGGAGGGGGCATGGGGTTGGAAGCACGGCTTGTTCTCAATTTTGTCCACGAAAGGTCTCGAGCGGCTGCTGGGCCATGAGGCCCAGGAAACTAGACCAGGAATTAATCGTCTTTGGTCAGTTTTAAATGAACATCTTGCTGGTTCATTCCTGAACATCAGTTCTACATAAAGACAAAAGGCTTGACCTCAGGGTAAGCCATTCCGTGAAGCCAAAAACAAAACGAAACAAAACAACAAAAAAATGCCCGTTATCAACTAGCTGATCAGTACAGCTTTCAATAATGGTGATGAACAGGTAGATAAACACCACTTCCCCTTGTACAATTGGTTATATTGAGGACTACTAACTAGGTTACTACATTACCCCCACACCCACTGTACAGTTAGGTTTCTGGTATTGGTTTTTACATTGATCTATCTACGACTAGGTGCAAAGATTTGGTGAGTGGCATTGGCTAGAATTTAATTGTAGCCTTTTTAAAAAAGTACAGTTTCACATTTTTTAACAGTTACTTTCCAGCATTTAAGCAAATACAGCAATAATATAGTGGACTCCAACAGGCAGGAGCTGAGACGAGATGCCCAGTGGACGTTGCTGGGCTGAGTGATGTGAAGGGAGGCTGAGGCATGCGCAGTGCCGGATGAGGAAAGGGGTGGCAAGGACAGTGTGTTCCCTTGTGTCCTGCAATGGGGCTCTGATCAAGGGGCCAGGTGAGAGGGGCATCATCTGCCATCTGGGTGCCTACTTCCCCATATGTGAACTTGTCATTTTTCCATTGGGGGGAAAAATAGGTGCTTAACAAAAACCTTCAAGTTAAGTCTGGGAAAGGCAGGTCCCTTTTTGGTAAGGAAAAAGGAAGCTGTCAATTCCAGAGAACGATCTACATAGCTTGACTGGTGCTACGTATATCAGGGAATAGATCTGTCTGCTTAAATCTTTGCTTCTCGTCTGGTATTTGTGGCAGAGATTTAAGGTCTGGGAGTATCTCTGGGCTGGAGATGAGAATTCCTACAACTTGGCTGGACGGTACAGAATCCTTGCAAATGAACAACATCCAGTGCCTGACAGAGCCCTACTCTCAGACATCTGTCACCTCTTGGGCAGGTCCCAGCACACCCCCAGGCCTAACTCTCCTACACTGTAAAAGGGGTTGTCTATGTGCACAAAGGCAGAGAGCCTTTCATATCAGGAGCTAAAGGAGAAGGGTTGGGGGCTCTCGGCAAAACAAGGGAGGTCAAATTCATCACTGGCCTCTTCCTGGTACAGCCTTTCTTGATTCCTCCTTCCACAGTGTGGTTTCAAGGCCAGTCCAGAGACAAGGCAGAATGGCTTCCTGTACCCACACATCCAGGTGTCAGAGACTCACTAGGTCTCTCCCGGTGTGTTTACCTTTTCATGTAGGACCACAGGAGAGGGCAAACTTCAACCAATGGGGGGAGATGCTAATGATGATACTGCAAGCTGGCAGGGAAATTCCAGGACCCACTTCTCAAATGCCATTAGGAGCTTTCCAGAAGGTCTGGATGGTTTTAGGGTCTGAAAGACTCACCTTTCTAATGATAATAACAGCAATAGCATCAGTACAGGGCTTTCCAGTTGATTTAGCTTGCTCGCTTATCTTTATCAGCCTCATTTTACGGGGCAGGAAAGCGAGGTTTGGTGAAGTGGAGTGACATGCCCAAAGTCTCACAGCTACTGAGTGCTGGGGACTGGGACTGAAATTTTGGACTTCTGACTCCAAACCCCAGAGGCTGAGAGAAGAGAGAGAAAGCCTGAGAACAATAACGAAAAGACCATTGGTTTGGCATGAGGGGGGAGCAAGTCAAAGTGGTCCATCCCATTAGGATCAGATTTGTGCTCCATTACCCAGAAACAGCCATCTCTAGAAAACAGAGCGATCAGAAGAGGATGTCAAATGGAAGCAGAGAAGAACAACTTGGAAAGCTTTTTTTCAGCCAAGAGGCAAAAGCCTTCCTCCTTATATCTGAAAAACACATTTTCACCTACATTAAATGCTCTGGAGGGAGCAGGGGAAGGGAGGGCAGGAAGTGATCTCACTTGCATAAACTCAACCAACCTATGGTGTTCCCTGGCCCCTCCTGGGCCTCCCTCTGACTGGGGCACCTATAGCTCACGTGCTTCATGCAAGAGGGCAAGACCCGAAGTGTGTCAAGCCCAATGTTATATGAAAATGATGTGACTCAGAAAGCCTCCTTGCCTGTTGAGTTCCAAATCTGACACAGTATAATTAGTAGAACCAGGAAAAGAAAAAATTAAATATTTTGAAGATATAAGTTAAACCTCTATAGTTACCACAGATTTATTCCTACAGCATTTCTAGGATTTGAAGTATTTCACACCACTGTATTATTTTTTTTTTCCTTTTTCCCAACCACATGTAATACTGTGCTACGATGGGGTTTAGGGTCTTGCTGTCCCCTGTTTCTACAATACAAACACAAGGATGCTGTGGTCAGGGATCTTCTTGCCAACTTCCTCCCGTGCCTTTGGGGGGTACAGTTGGCCTTGGGCCTCCGGATGGAAGGGCAGGGTCTCTGGGGTGGACGGAGGGTTTTCTCTGAAGGGTTCCCCGCCTGCTTGGGGTACTGCCTGCCCCACCCTGCCTTTAGGGGCAGACTGTTCTGGAAGGCCACGACTTCTGGAGACAGTGGGAGACTGTTTTTCTGCAGGTGAGTGGTATATTGCTTCATTTGCAGTTACTGTGGGGCCTCTTAAGTTCTCCCAGAGAAGTCCCTGCAAATCCCACCAAATAACTCAGCGGGAGATGTCAGGTGGCATGGGTCTGAGGTAAATCTAAGTTTCATAAAAAGAAAAAGGAGATCCTATATACATTTAACATGTAAGTCCAGATCTAGTATGTATAGAGATGCATAAATATTTATATATACACAGACACACATACATACATGTCTATGCGTATATATATATATATATATATACACACATATACACACACACACATATATACGTATGTAGAGAGGATGTCGAGGATCATTTTCCAGTGACGATATGCGGGAGAAGCCACTTGGCATCTTGCCTCACTTTGGGGAGACACTGAACTCAGGCTCTTGCTGCAGCACTCCCCGGGGTGTCTGTCTGCACACAGGTCTGTGGGATTCGCATGGCCAAGCCTGAGCGCAGTAGCGCCTGGGCCTCTGCTCTCCACAGACACATACTCTCTCCCAGCTGACCCTCCAAGCTCTGCCTCACAAGGCCAGCATCACTGGGAAGCAAGTAGAAGCCACCGAGGCCAGGCTAGGCCATGGCGGGCCACAGTGGGCCGCGCTGGTGCCACCCACCCAGCAGGTCACATGGTGCCCGACTTGTCTGTGGAGCTGTTGGGGAACATCTTCTCCGTGGGCGTCACGGCAGGGCTGCCCACCCCGGAACTGCTGCTGCTGCTGGACCGATGCTGGACCACGGGCCGCACAGGCCGCATCGGGGGCGGACGCAGCTGGGCGCCAGCCAGGCGGGCGGACAGAGCTGGCTTGAAGGTGGTCATCATCTCGGTGGAGGAACTGCTGCTGCGGCGCATGGCGGCATCCGGGTCTCGGATGACGATGGTGTGCAGGGGGCTGGCGGGCTCTGAGCTGATGGGGCCTGGAGGGTTCTTCATGGGCTCCAACGTGTCCAGCACCACATCTGGCGCTTGCTTGACCGTGTTCTGCCTCTCGAGTTCCCGCAACTCGTGGAGAGCCGTGCTCATGGTCTTCTCGATGTCCTGGGGACAGAGAGAGCTCCAGTCAGCACAGAGACTGCAGGCGTCGGGTCCTGGGCTGCTAACCAGCTCGTGGTCCTTCTTGAGGTTCCCACAGGAGCCTCATGGCCTGGGTGGAGAATAAGTCCCCAGGGTATCTTAAAATCAAATGGGAGGATCAATGTGGGTGTCCCATGTATGGGAAGTATATTAGTAAAGGCAGGTCAGACTACCAGAGTCAGCCAGATGCTCTAATTCTGCCTCTGACACTTCCTTGCTGTATGACCCTGGGCAAGTGACCTTACCTCTCTGAGCCTCAGAATCCTCTTCTGCAATTTAGAGATAATTATAATTAATACTAAACCCAGAGTTGATGAGTGTATTAAGTGATATGATCTCTGCAAAGAGCATGACATAACACCTAACACACATAAACACTCAAAAGTAGTAGTGCAACCACAATAGCATTAACACTTGACAGTAAGCACCAACCCAAATCCTTTGTACTCATAAGTCATTTAATCCCCATTCTTACAAGGTAGCAACCACTGTTTCACACATGAGGAAACTGAAGCTCGGACTGGTTAAGTAACTTGCCCAAGATCACACAGCTATTAGTGGCAAAGCCCAAATCTGAACCCAGATAGTCTGACTCCAGAGGCCCTGCCCCAATCATCATTTTTCATTAAAAAAAAAATCCTTCATCACTATTCCAGGTATGGATGTATCAAAACTTCATAAATTTGCACTCCATAAATTTGTACCATTATTTAACTTTTTTTTTTTTTTAAATATGGAACGTTTCACAAATTTGCGTGTCATCCTTGCGCAGGAGCCATGCTAATCTTCTCTGTATAGTTCCAATTTTAGTATATGTACTGCTGAAGCGAGCACATGTGTTATTTTTTTTAATTCAAAAATCATCCTTGACCCAGCAGCCTGGGAGGCTGAGACAGGAGGATTGCGAGTTCAAAATCAGCCTCAGCAACAGTGAGGTACTTAGCAACTCAGTGAGACCCTGTCTCTAAATAAAATACAAAAATGGGCTTGGGATGTGGCTCAGTGGTCAAGTGCCCCTGAGTTCAATCCCCAGTACCAAGGGGGAAAAAAAAGATCATCCTTGCCTATAGAAAAATTACTTGAGGGCTGGGGATGTGGCTCAAGCGATAGCGCGCTCGCCTGGCATGCGTGCGGCCCGGGTTAGATCCTCAGCACCACATACCAACAAAGATGTTGTGTCCGCCGAAAACTAATATTAAAAAAAATTAAAAAATAAATAAAAAATAAAATAACACAATAAAATTGTTAAAAAAAAAAAAAAGAAAAATTACTTGCTATGTAATTCTCGGAAACATTGTAATATTTGAGAGCTTTTCAGGATGGGAGCACTTTGAATGACACAGAGTTGGTCGCCAGCTCAGGCCAGCCTGGCGCCAGTCATCCCAGGTGTTGGCCTCCCCAAGCCAGAGGCAGGGCTGGAGCTGGAGGACAACATGAACCCAGGAGCCTCTGGCCAGGGCACAAAGCCCTGCAGATTTGAATGAAAAGACTGCAGCCACTTGCTGACTCTGTGACCTTGGGCAAGTCTCGGTCACCCTGCACTGGATTTTGTTCATTTGTTAAAAGCCCACACATTCACTGGGAAGATGAAATGAGATGATGGATGTCATGAAGCTCTGTAAACTACCAGACAATGGTTTTCCAACTCCTTTTGGCCCCACTGTCTCTGGGTCACATGATCATTTGCCGGGATGCCTCCATGGCCCACAGGTACCAAAGGAGCTGCAGAGCCAGAACCCGGCCAGAGCATTATGGCTTGGCCATTGAGGACACCATGAGGGGACACTGCTTAAAAGCACCGCTGGCAGGTGCTGTGCACAACCTCAGTGAGGAGGGATGATTATTAAGTCCTGCTTGCTCCTCTGCAAATCCTGAGGCCCATCCTGAAAAACACATAGGAGTCTAGTGAGGCAGTTGGGGCTGGAGCCTGGAGATGTAGCTGACCCCAGGCTTCTGTATTCTCTCCTCTCCCTGGTCTACAGGCAGCCCCTGCCTGCCCAGGCCAAATAACAGGCATCAACTTTTATGTTTCCCACGATATTTTATCCCTTGCCCCAGAACCCCGGCAAATTTAAAAAGGAACAGTTACAGGGATGGGGCTGGGGCTCAGTGGTGGAGCAGTTGCGTAGCATGTGTGAGGCACTGAGTTCGATCCCCAGCACCACATAAAAATAAATAAATAAAATAAAGGTATTGTGTCCATCTACAATTAAATATATATATATATATATATATATATATATATATATATATAATCATATAAATCTAAATCCTAAATACATATTTTATATATATATATATATATATATATATATATATATATATATATATATATAATCAGTTGCAGGAGATTCTCTGTTGGAAGGGAGAGATGGCTATTCTCCCCCTGTTTGCTACCTCCCTACCCTTCAGGGACACTTTCAAGAATTGCTCCAGTGTCCCCAGCTCTGCTGGAATTAAGTTCTCAGTTGCCCTCACTGCTCCCTCTGGTGGCTCTAAAAGGCAAAACTTCAACAAATAAAATGTAATTCTCATCCCTCCACCTCCATCCCTCCTGCTGCCACCACCACTGTACCCTGGCACAGTGAGCCAGAAAGACAGAAAGCTCAGAGAAAGATGAGCCAAGCGGTTTAGGCTGGAGCCTTGCATTAGTCCGACAGATGATGAGCGAGTCTCCAGAGAGGAGCTGCAGAGAGGAACCTGGGATGGGCAGAGCAGGGAAGGCAGCCGCTTTTCACCTCCTCCCAAATGAGACCGTCTCACTTTTGATGACAATGTCACACAGTTCCTAATTGGGTTTCAAATCTAAATCTTAAAGAACATTTTGAGACTAGAAAATTTGGGGTAACCCCATCTAATACTCAGGGTTTTGCATGCCATCCCTCCCCTTCATAGGCTGCAAAGTCAAGGACTCATCAGAGCTGATGCTGAACAGGCTGGTGCCTATCCTGTGTCATCTTAGCTGTTTACAAATTGTTTATTGTGAGCTCCTATTTTACTTCAGTCAGTGAAAAGAGCTCTTGAATTCAGCTATTAGAGTGTGTAGATATCATTGCCCACAGAGAACATGGGCCGCATTTCCCCAAGTGCACTCCTTGGGTTGGGCTTGCAAAATGCTATGTGAATCAAGGGCTGACCACTGGGAGGCTGAGGCAGGAGATCACAAGCTCAAGGCCATCCTGAGCAACTTAGCAACACCCTGCCTCAAAATAAAAAGGGCTGAAGATGTAGCTTAGTATCAGAGCATCCCTGGCTTCTATCCCCAGTACTGAAAATAAATGAACAAATAAATAAATGAAGGTAAAAGAAGTCTGGGAGGTGGGGTGTGCCCTGTTCCCTTTGTGGGATATTCACATCACCTGGACATTATTTTATGTTGCTGAGAAATCTTGGCTTCTCTAAGCCTTATGACTTTATCAGACCCACATCCTCCAACTGCACCACAGAGTACTGCCCCATCCCACTGACATCCCATGGAACCTGTCTGTGGTGGGACCCACTTTTAGAAACTGGGCCCTAGACTGCATTGGACTCTTTATGTAAAGGGCTCTGGGCCAGGTAGTTGTCTACCCCTACTGTGACTGAGAGAGCTTCCAACCTGTATAGTGTCCAGATGATGGTTGGGGGCTGGGGATGTTTCCCAAGAGGACGGCCAGCCTTGGAGGATGGAGAAGCAACAAATTTCTTGGCTCTTCTGCTTGACTCATGCCAAGGCACCAGTCCCAGGGATGCCATGGGAGTGGGCATTTGGGCATGGCCCAAGCCAGACCCTGGGGCTGTGGACAGGAGTTCCAGTGGCTGGGTGTCTTGTTTGTGTTGGGTATTACCTTGGAATCTTCCCTGAACTCCACTCAGGGTACAGGTCAACAAGCTCACTGGCATTTCAAGGCTGTGTGCATCTCCTGGTTGCAAGCTCTCCCTTCCCCCTCTCTAAATCACAATCTCCATGTGAGCAGGGCCAAAGTCTATTTCAGCTCTTCACTGTACTTTCAATGCCTAGCATAGCATAATAGATGCTCAATTGATATTTGTCAATAAATGAATAAAGGAATGAATGACAGATGGATGGATGGAAGGATGACGGGATGGATGGATGAACTCAGCCATATCATCTTGCAGAGAGACCTGCCATTGCCCCATACCCATAATCCAGCCAATCCCATCTTTGGACATTGGGGAGTTTTCAGCCTTTACAGAAGCCCCAGCCAGCAGCTGTATCCAACCAACTTGTGCCCCCAAGGGAAGGCCCAGCAAGAGAAGGGAAGCCAGCTCACTCTCTTATTCTCTGGCTTAACCTTAAGTCTGGCAAAGGCCAGGGGGCACTTCCACAAGGCAGGTTCCTATCCCGCCCCCTCTCTGGAGGTCTCTGTTGGCCTAGCTGCCTTCCCCGGGCCCTTACTTCTGCCAGGGCCTCAGCCTCAAGGGACTTGTGGTCCCCCAGGCTGCTGTGTCTGGTGGAGCCGCAGGTGGACCTCACGGAGTGCCCTTCTGAGAGCGCCTTCTTGTCGGGGTAGTTGATGCTGCCAGCACTCCCAAACGTCGCCATTCTCCTCTTCTCAGGGCTCTCGATCCTCCCCCGGGTAAGAGGGATTTTGTGGGGGCTGCTGGGGCAGGCGGCGGCCCGGGGTGGCGTGTCTATGCTGGGGCCCAGGCCCCGGGGTGGGCTGTGCGTGTCGCCCCCGCTTCTGCGCCTGGGGATGGCCGCTCCATCAGATCGTAACCGCACTCTGCAAAGGAGCCAGGGGGCAGGGGCATGGGGCAGAAGTCAACCCTGGCCAGTCTCAGAATGGGCCATCCAACCCCCACTACAGCCACGCACTACACACTAGTCTAGGGAACAGGTATAGTGAAGCCTCACTTGGTCAGACTGTGCAATTCCACATCAGAGGACCAACTGGGCCCACACAGCCACAGGGGGAGGTGTGGGACGGTGCTTCCAGCTGCAGACAGCAGTGGTGCTCATTACAAAACGAATCTCATCTACTATTAAGTCGGGGCCAGGAGGATTTCAACCTGGAAATGCTTGGGTAAGCTCAGTCGGGCTCATGATACATTTTCATGTTTCCTGTAGGCTTCTTTATAATTGGTTTGAAGCATTGAGGCTTGACTATACCAAAAAGCCACCAGCACCTTGCAAGCACAGGAGGGCCCCCCTGGGAACTGAACATCTACTCACTATTGTCCCCCACTCCCCATCTCCCCAGACAAAGGTATCTATAAGGCTTTTCCAGATCTTGGGAAATTGGCCATTTAAGAGTAAACACTGCATCTTCAATGAGCCTGTGGGGCATGTGGGTACTCCTCCCACCTCAGGGAGGTCTGTGGGTGTGAACAGGGGTGGGAGTGTGGATCAGGAGGGCTGCCCCTTGCCCTCTGTGTCTGCCACGAGTTTCCTGGCTTCTCTTTCAGGTCCATTCTGTTCTGTTGAGTGGGGGCACTACTCCCTGCCTGCTCTTAAGTGGGTTTGAGAGTACCTTGAAGATAAAAGGTTTTGCTGCACCCTGTGGAAGTCACCAAGGACCCAGCGGCCCTGGTGAGGGGAGGGAAGGCTGGAAGAGAAAAGGGGTCAGGTAGAGGTGGTACCTTGGGAATGGAATGTGACTAGGAACCAAGTTCCGTGTGGTCAGTAGCGCTTCAGACCCTACCACCCAGCCAAGCTAAGCAGGCCTGTGGGTGCCCCAACAGGACCAAAGCAGAGGTGTAGAGAGAAAGAGGTATTAAGAAAGAAAAAAAAGGAGATGAGAGAGGGAAGGGGGAAAGGAAGAGAGAGGCAGGAGAAGAGTGGCCCTGGTGGGCTCTGTGACACACAACCTCTTCATTCTCTACCCCAGCCTCCTGCTTCCTCGAGTCCCTGGATTTTATCACCTATCACAGTGTCCCGACCTTTCTGCTGAACTGAATAGAACATGCCGCTGATTTCTTTGGCTCTGTGAGCAAATACCCACACATGTGGGCTGATCACATGACCTTTCTAGAAAAACAGAGTAACATTCAGAGACTCCTATGTGGGGGGATAAAAAGGCAGTGAGAAACTGCCAGCTTTTCTTTTTCTTTTCTTCTTTTTCTTATTTTTTAACCACCACATATTCTGGACCATACTGGTTCATAGAATGGTGCATGCTGCTCCCTGCTGATATACAGGTCATGTGACACAGCCCAGCCCACACAGGGGAGGGAAGAAATTGGGAAATCTGCTCCCACCAAAGAAGTGGGTGGAGCCGAGTGTCAACTTCCCCCACCACATGAGTAGGTGGGAATTTTCTGTTTATATAGCGCAATTTGGGGGAATATGGGAGCTTTACGTTTTTTAAAGTACTTTATAACAACTCTGGTTTTCACCAGAAAGCTGGGAGGAGGTGCAGGACAGGGGGAGTAAAAATACTTGCCAATTGTGCTAATTTACCGTCATTATTTCCAATGAAAAGCGCTGAGTTCCCAGCATTTGTCTTTCCTCCTGCTCCTCAAGCCCCCTACCCAACACCACGCTGTTTTGTCCCTGGCATCCTCCAATCAGCTCCAGCCTCCCCCCACCAATTGTGCCCAATGTCATATTCTGTGGGGAGCAGGGCCTGCACAAGCCTCCTTCTCTCCTTCCTGCCCTCTCGCCCCCCCCAGTTCAGACATGAACCCACATGGCACTAGCAGGAAGAAAATGAACCCATGTTTCCTACCGGCCCATCACCCCCCCAAAGCCATAATCCGAGATGTGCTCCGTGGGGGACTGGAGGTCGTTCTTGGAGGAGGCCTTGTCGTCCAGCAGTGGCCCGCTGCTGGCCTCGCTGTCAGCCTTCTGGCTCAGGCTGTCAGAGAAGGCATCATCCCTAGAGGGAGAGAGATGTGAATTGGAGATGCCCCTCCCAAGAACCAGGATGCACATGGCTCCCTGGTACCTGCGAGGAGCTCCTGCCTATGGCTGACTGTGCCCACGGCTCTGAAGGAGCCACCTTCCCGCCATGCATGCCCACTGCAACGCTCCTGGAGTTCGTGTCTCTGGCAGGAGACCCTCTTCTATCCCTGCAACCCATGCCCACTTTCTCCTTTCCCCTTCTCTGGCTCGTTCTTCTCTCCCAGGCTGTGCACAGGCTGAGACAAACTAAATGCAGGAGGCATATTGGAAGGATGGGGCAGGGGGTGGTATCTAAATACTGAGTTCAAAGTTCTGAGTGCTGAGCCTCCATGTGGCTCCATGAGAAGTGGTTTCACACTAAGTAAAGGAGGAAGAGGTGTTTCTATCCCTCACCTCCCTCACCTGAGGTATAGGACTATAGTGAAGGCCTGCAGCCTCCCCCTGCCCCCACCCAACCCCCGTAGCCCTTTCTCTTCCAATGATTTGTTCCTGCCCTAAGAAACCTGGGGACATCAGCCAAGAACCCTCCACTACACTATTCCTCTTACAGTTTGCTTGGCCCTGGCCTGTTCTCTGGCTTAGACCTTCCTCTTTCCTATCAAAACATAGGCTTTTGGTCCCCTTTCTGTGAAGTTCAGCTTGGTGTCTATTTCCATGATAAATCAGTTCCCCTGAGCCTGGCCAGAGATTTTAGGGAAGGTGTGCACAGGAGTCTTCAATGGCTTTCAAAGAAATGGAATGTGTAAACTTTGTGAGCTTCCTGGTGGGACTAGGTATTTAGGGTGTGGGTTTTTTAAATATTTTAATCCCTGAAATTGTAAAAAATGGTTCCTTATTAATCAGAAACCAGGACATTTTTTTTCCTGCCCATCCCCTGAGAGAATCACCTCTGCATTGGAGGATGGTGGGCAGTTAATGGTGACCTCGCCAGCAGCTATGAGAAAGCCCAGGAAGGTGCAGAAATATGGAAAGATCCACTGGACACTAAGAACTGTAATTAACAAGCACCCTGGAGGCTGTCAGATGGATCAGAGTGGCAGGCAGATAACACATAGTCTCTGTGTACTCTGATGGATGAGCAATTTGCACATTTAATAAGTGGATTATCATTTAAAGGGAAGTTAGGTTTACCTGTTCTTACAGAACATCAAACATATTATACCAGGGAGAACAAACTGCCAGCACACGGCCTACTACTCCTTTCCAGTGCCCACTGCAGGCATCACTAATCTATTACCACTAATCTATTCCCAGAAAGTCCCAATTCCCACTCACATGTCCTGTACAACTATGTACTGGTGAGGGATGAGTCCATCCACGCCATTGTGACGGCCCTCCCACCAGTCTTCTGAGGCGCGGTGATACAGGAGCAGCGAGGCTCCCTTCTTGAAGGACAGCTCGCGTGGCGACCGCCCTACATAGTCAAACTTGGCAATGGCCTCGATCTGCTCCACTTCTGAAAGGAAAGCAAGAAAGAGAAAAAGCTTCATGAGATCAGCAGAGGGGCATCCCAGGAGCCTCACTCAGATGGCCCTGGCTTCTACAGGGCAAGGCAGGGCAAGCCAGGTGACAACATGTGGCCTGGAGCTCAGGACGCCCGGGGGGTTCTAGGCTCAGATCCACTCCCACCCTGTGACCTCAGGCAAGTCATCCTATTTCTCAAAGTGTCCAGTGACAGTTGGCATAGCAGACCCTCATTTTCCACTGCCTGACTTGTTCCCATCTCTTAAACCCTCATTAGAACAATATTTGATTATGGCATTTGCCAATAAACGGCTATTTATCAGCAAATGATATTCTCTTATCATGCTAACTGAAATAAGCCAGTCCCAAAACACCAAAGGCTGAGCTGAGGGTGAAACTTCTAAGGGACACGGACAGCATGGAAAACCAGAGAAGAGGGAAGACATGACCTTGTTCGAGTCCCCCAACACTCTACTCTGCACATGTCCATGCCCCTCTGAAAGCTATCGTCTCAAGAAGACTGTGCTTGTGGCCCTGTGAGATGCAGTGGCTTTGACACATCTAGCCTCAGTGACAGATGGCCTTCTGCAGGGAGTGGGCCTCAAACAGTTCAGCCAGAAATGTCTTTAAATGCTATTCTGACACAGGGAATGGAAGGGAGGAAGAAAATGACAGAAAGCTGACGGGGTTGGATGAACTCAGATCTTGACACACAGTCACCTTGTCAGGGCAGTGTGGAGACTTTGTCCACATCTCTGCTGCGTCTTTGAATCCCATCCCTAGCCACATGTGGAACCTGCCTGTTAACAACCTATCTGCCAGCCTGATTACCAGAGACAGGAAGGCCTGAACTGTGTAAGACGGGACAGAGCTCAGATGGCTTCACCCCCGGATGGCTTCACCCCTGGGGCCTGCTGGGACCCAGACCCTCCTCCTAGAGAAAGGTGCTGACCCAACCAGTGGGTTGCTGAGGCTCAGAGAAGCACTGAGGGGCCACCTGCGTTCCTTGTTCTTGCCTTTCCCTTCCCTGGAGTCTAGCGCTGAAGTGATGGTGGGGAGTTGGGAAGGTTTGTTGGAAAATGTAAAAGGAAAGAAACAAAATAGGAGAGGAGGAGCCACACTGAGCCACAAGCTAAGTGAGAACACATGTGTTCGCAGATGTCGTTATGTAAGTGTGCAGTACAAACAGTAATAGCAGCTACAGTTTATTAGCAAATCTGTTATTTGGGTTTCTCATGCCCACCCCACTTCCCCCACTGTCAGCCGTACTTAATCCCCTCATCTTCCCCCTCTCAAGAACCTGCCTGCTGAGGCCAGAGCCTTGGGGCTGCTCTGGGGCCCCAATGACCTAACCAGCAGCGATTCTTTCAAACGGGCCACCAACTCTGACCACATTTCTCTGCTGCTACCTTGGTTTAGATCACTACTTCCCCCTGCGTGCCCTCCTCACTTCCCCTCTTGCTTCGTTAGAGTTATTTCTCCCCAGAGACACTGGAAGGATCTTTCAAAATCATAAATCAGATCATGAAACTCCCTTGCCCAAAACCCCCTCTGTCTTGGAACAAAACTCCAGTGTCTCCCCAGGGCTCCTGAGGCCCTCTGTGCCCAGGAACCTTGAGATCTCATCTTCTACCACTTCCACCTCTCATGCAATCTGCTTGCACCTTCTTGGTATTTCTCCTCCAACATTTATATGACATTTTTCAAACACAAAATAAAACTGAAATAATTTTACAGTGAAGGTGTATATATCCATCAACTAAATTTTATTAATATTATACTATACTAGTTTTATCATATATTTATCCATCCCACTCTCTATCCGTTCATCTACCTTTTTATTTTTTGCAGTGCTGGGCATGGAACCCAGGGCCTCGCACATGATAGTCAAGCACTTTGTCACTGAGCCACACTCCCAGTCCCCATTACTTTATTTTTAAAGTAAGCCGCAGACATCAGGACAGTTCTCCTAAATACTTCCCCCTAAATATTCATAGAGTCTACTTGATGCTTTTAAGACATGCCAAGCTTTTTCCTGCCCCATGGCCTTTGGACTTGTTATTGTCTCTCCCTAGAATGCTTTTCTCCCACCCCTGGCCACGTGTGGGACCTGCCTTTGTATTCATCCACATCCAACAAATATTTAATAACCATTGTGTGCCCTTTCCTAATTTCATTCAGGTTTGTACTCAAGTGCCATTGCCTTAACAAGCCTCTCCTGACCAGACCCAATCACAGAAGCCCCAATTGCCTAATCACTTTCTGACACTTTCTGGGGGTTTTCTCCATAGTGTTTATTACAACTTGAAGTTATATGTGGGTCTGAGTGTGTGTGTGCTCATGTGATTTTTAGACTTGTTTACTGTCAGTCTTTTTACACTGTGAACAACATTAGGACAGAGATTTCATTTTATTTCTTGCTATCGTCCCACCTCTAGAAGAGTCCCTGGGACTAGTAGGCACTTGGTACATATTTGTTGTTTGTGTGAACAAATTCAGCTTTTAGTATGTGCAAACTGCTCTACCTACATCATCATGCTTAATTCTCACCAGACATCTGGGACATCGCCCTCATTTGTCTGCTGATTTCTTGACAGAAACAATGGGTGCCAGAAGACAGTGGAAGGCCATGCTCAAGGAAAAGTTCTGTCAACCAAGAATCCTACATCCAACAAAGACACCATTCAAAAATGAGATAAAAGGACTTTCCAAGTTTAAAATAACTGAGAAAACGTGTCACTGGCAAAGCCACCTTTTAAAATGACTAAGATTTTTTTTTTTTACTGCTGAAGGCAGTAACCCCTATGATAACTTACGTTCACACACACAAAAGAGTGCCAGTAAATGTGATTATAAAAAACAATATAAATGCATATTTTCTCCTTTTCTGAATTGATTTAAGAAGCAAGGATATGGGCTGGGGTTGTGGCTCAGTGGTAGAGTACCTGCCTAGCACACACTAGGCACTGAGTTTGATCCTCAGCACCACATAAAAATGAATAAATCAATTAAATAAAGGTATTGTGTTCATCTACAGTTCAAAAAATATATTTGAAAAAAGAAGCAAATGTATAAAATAATGTGTATATATGATTTTTGGCCTATAACACAAAAATGTATAAACTTGCCAATAATAGCACAAGGGGGTAGGAACAAGGCTATATAGGACCACAGATAGCAAAGTAATAATTATAATAAAGCATTGTGTTTTTTTAACACAAATAGATGTATAACAATAACACCATAAAAAGAGAATAAAACTAAACAGGAATAAAATTTTCACATAGCACTAGTATTTAAGCTAATATAAATTCAGAATTTCATTTTAGTAAGTAAAGATGTATATGGTAAACCTTAGAGCAACCATTTAAAAAAAACCTCAAAAATAAAGTGAAATAAATCATTAAAGAAATTAAAATACCTAGTGCAAAATAAAGCAAAAAAGAAGGAACAGAGGAACGAAAAAGAAAAGAAACACACAAATAACAAAAAGTGAAATGGGAGACACAAATCTAACCATACCAATATAGTATTAAAGGTGAATGGGTTAAAACAATCTAATTAAAGTGAAGAGATTCCCCAGTATTAAAAAAAAAAAAAACAGATTATCAGAGTTAAAAAAAATATCGTCTAACCTTGGGTCATCTACAAAAGATGCACTTTGGTTTCAAAGACACCAATTGTTCAATAAAGAACTATAAACTGCAATCATAGGAAAGCTGGTACAAAATAGGCTTTAAAACAAAAAATGATGCTAGGGCTGACCCTCAAAGCCTACAAGGTTACATTCACACAGAGCATTTTCAAGAGAAAAGAGGGTATTAATGAGTCCCCAAATGAAGCCTCTTAGATAAAATAAATTTAGGTTGCCATGACTAGTTAGAACAACAAAATTCTCTGGGACTCAGTTTCCCTGTCAGAATTAGAAAGGATTTATAACTCACTAGAGAAGCATTCATGTTTCTACCCCCTGCCTTCTCACAGGCACTGGGTGAAGCTCCTACATGTACAACCCTTTATTTTAACCCAGGACTTGATTCCCTCATGGCTGTCACACCCATTTTACAAATAAAGAAAGTGAGGCCAGAGGTTATGTGACTTTCCTCAGATAACAAGGCCACACAGGAGGACTCCTGTGTTTCAATTTCAGGTCTCTTCTCTGAGTCCAGCGCCCTCTCGACCGTCCCTGTGGTTTACTATTTCCATAACTATGGCCAGGGTCAGCATGAATGTAACATTCAGAAAATGCAATAGATTTCCCTCCAAAGAACGCCCTCCAGCAGCCCCATGCACACACATGGGGGCTTCCAGGGTCCTCAGGGTGTGAGCACCTGACCTTGCCTCCTTTCTAGGGTGGTTCTCCCTACTTCTGGCATTCTTAGAATCCAGCAGCCCTATGAAGAGCGATGGGAACAAGGCCCTACAGGGGAAGGGGATACTGCTGGCCTCACCCATTCAAGGAGCAGGTGCATGTCTTGTCATGAGAAGAGGTGGGAAGAATTTTCTTGGGGGTGGTTCTTGGTGTGAAGCATGAAGATAAAAGGAATATAATAATGAAAGTGACACTGAAAGAGCCTCTCGGAATGGACCTGGGAAGCCTTTACAGAAGCAGGATGGATGGGCGATTCCAGCTGCTGAGGAGGAACATGAACTTTGGTCACCTCAGCCCTTTGTCCATAGGCAGGCCTCTGAAAGGACCTGAGCAACCAAACGCACTATGCCCAGAGGCTCAGAAGGAACATTCAGAGGTTGCCAGGCTCCCGTTCTCTGGACATTTCTCTTCTGTGTGTACATTCTTCGCAGTCCTGGAGCTGTGGGAATAGCCATCAGGCACCGGCAGGTCCTTGGCCCCAGGAAAGTGGGTACACAAGTCAACGCGCAGAGCTGCAGAGGTCCCCAGAGGCCACCTGACCTGCCCTCTTGCCAGCCAGATGTCTCCATAGGCTGCAGCCCTGGCAGGTCTTGGTTCTGAAAAATCAGTCCACCTCTTAACATAAGAGGGGCTTTCCCCAGGGGAAGAAGAGAAACAGAAAGATCCAGAGCAAGAGGGAGCTACACACTGGCACACAGAGGGAGAAGGCAGGGAGAGGGAGAGAAGGGTGGGAAAGGAGAGAGGGAGAGAAAAAAGTTGAGGGAGAGAGGGAGGCAAAAGCCAGAGAGGAAGAATTGGGAAGGAGAGATGGGGGGGGGGGGAGAGAGAGAGAGAGAGAGAGAGAGAGAGAGAGAGAGAGAGAGAGATCCAGAAATAAAAAGAGCAGCAGATGGAGTGAGAAGGGCGGGGCTGGGGGGGAACTGGAGGTGGCAGAAAGAGGAAGGGAGGGAGGAACAGAAGGGAAAAGGAAAGCAGATCACTCTGAAAAAGCAGAAGGTGGTGGCCTTCACATCTCCAGTGAAGTCTTTGCAGGACACTCGCCTCAGTCCAGGATGCCTTTAGACCCCTAGGATTTGGCTAAGATGAATGTTACATCTAGATTTGGTCTTCTGCACCTGTGACCCAGGCCTAACCATTAGCTCCCTCCCTGATCACAGGGATTTGATGATGCTTGGGTGTGACCCAAGGCAGTCCAATGGAGACTCTGCCCCTGGACATTTCTTAGAAACATGATGAAAATGAAGCTTTTCCCGTTGGGACTTTGGGAAATAGAACAGTGAAAGCCTGGAACTGTGAGAACACCTCCCAGCAAGATTCCACCTGAGAACGAAGCCAGCACAGAGGGAAGCTGAACAGGAAGATGGACACAAAGTCCTAACAAAAGTGTCTGTGCTCCTGGATCCAACTGTGCCTGAAGGCATACGTATCCTGGAGTTTTCAGGTGTATGACCTGATTCCCTTTTATGTGTAAGTCTATCTGAGTTGGGGGTTCTGTCATTAGCAACCAAATAGTTCTACTACAATGTGAAAACCCTATGTTGCCTTTATTACCAACTCCTAGAAACTTCACATGAGTAAATAAATTCCCCTGACAAATGTGCTGGCCAACAGGGCCTAGGATTGTCTCCCAAGGAAAATACAAAGGCCAAGTAAAAGAACTGATAAGTTATGATTTTTAAAAAACATAAAACTATGACAAGGAGAAAAAAGGTTATGCTTGGCCACATAGGGTCATATTATGACTGCCATGGGCCCTAGGCACTTAGGCCTGCAGGAGTCCCTTCCACTATTAAAAAAATAATCATTGTATTTTACAACTACATTGGCATAAAGACAAGCATAATCCAGACTGGACATCATATTCATTTTTCTTCTGCTTTTAAAAGAAATGAAAGCATATTAGTGGGCCCTGCAAGTATCCAGGGCCCTGGCACTGTGCCCACTCTGCCCAGGTAAGTTGGCTCTTGGTCCATGTTACCCAGATTGCTTGTCCACACAGTCCAGTTTCCTAGTCTAGTAGGGGTGGAATAATCTAGTGAGTCCCTCAGAGCCCAGCTGGCCTTTCTCCCTGTCCACACACTTCCCAGGGTCATCACCCTGGCGTCATGTCTGGGTGCCTGCTGCTCTGGGATGCACCCGCAGCCTGGCATTACCACTCTGCATCATCACTTGGAGCTGTGTCCAATCTGTCGAGGTCTGGAGACAGACCCGTCTCCTTCACCTCCTAGTCTCAGGTCCTACCATAGGCCTGGTGCAGAACAGGTATGCAGGGGAGAGGGACAGAGGAACAGAGGGACAGTGGGACAGTGGTTGCTTCCTACTTGGGACACTCTTGCCATTTAGGATCTGCACCTGGGCCAGGCAGGACACAGAGGGATCACGTGAGCCAGGAGTGGGGTGTGGCCAACACAGCGCGTGCTCCCAGGATCTGCTCTGTCTGGCCTGTGCCGGAAGCTGCCCTGCGCAATGGAGGTTTTTTTCTGAGGTTTCCCTGAGTGCCCATCTGTTCTGAGGGATGGCAGTGCTGACCTGGAGCTGGAAGGTTATGTGGGCCAGCCCTGTGGGGTGGCATGAGGCAGCAGGAAAGCTTTCCAGGTGAGTTTCCTGGCCCCAGACCTCCCCTCACTCACCTTCATCACTAGTGTGAGGCTCCGTGCCATTGTCATGGTCAACTTCATCGATGGTCCCTGGCTCACTGTGTGGACTGTCACTGCAAGGAAACACAGGAAGGGGACTTGTTGGGGAGTGTGGGCCCTCACCCAGAGCAGGCCCAGGCCTACATCATCCTGTCTTTTCCCACTGATCACCCATGGATCTTCTTAACTAGAAAACCACTCCCAGCTCCTTGCTGGAAGCTTCCCTGAGTCCCTCTGTCAGCTCTATCCCAGCTGAGTTACCTTCTTGGCGAATGCTGTCAGTGGTTTGGCTGTGACCCCAAAGTTTACGTGTTAGAAACTTCATCCCCAGTGCAAAAGTGTTGGAGGGGTGCCTGATGAGGTGATTGGGTCATGAATTCTGTTCTCATGAATGAACTGATGTTATTATCACAGGAATGGATTAGAACTCACAAGAACTGTTTGACAATTGAGTCTGACCTGAACATCTCTTGTGCGCTTGCTCACTCTTGTGCCTTTTGCCTTCTGCCTTCCACCATGGGATGACATAGAAGGAAGGCCCTTGACAGATGCTGACGCCATGCTCTTGGACTTCCTAGTTTCTAGAACTGCGTGCCATATAAATTTCTGTTACTAGGAATTACCCAGCCTCAGGCATTCTGTTCCAGCAGCAGAAAATGGATTGACAATGCCTATGTGTTCTGTAAGGTCCAGAGGGCAGTTACCCCAGAATTTATCATCAGAAGTACCACAAATCAGAACAGAAAAGACCTCAGAAGTACCATGTGTCCTTTCATCCAGTCTGATTCCCTTCTTACAGATGAGGTGACACATCTGTGAGGTGGAGCGAAGCCAACAAGGGCTGCCTCATGATTCTGTGGGCAAAAGCCCAGATCGATTTAGGCTGGTCACCATGATGAGCCTGGTGGCCGAGAGACTGAGGTTGGTCCAATCCAGTCATTCAGGTACTGGTATGAGTCACAGGTGCTACCCTTTGCTAGACTCTAAGTTCTTTGAGGCCAGGGATCATTCACACACCCAGTGTTTTTACTGAGCCACTGAGTTCTAATAGATGACACTACGCCATATGGGAAGGATGTAAAGAGAGGGAAGATGGATAGGGTCCCTGACCTCATTGCTTACCTTCTATGGAGAGGGACAAGAAAAAAGTCCAAGTAAACAGGCCAATCAATAAGACAGTTACAAGTTGAAATATGTCATGTGGAAAAGAAATGAGCAGAGACAAGAAAAACAGTGGGGACTAACATAGTCAGGGGAGAGCTCTGAGAGAAGGTGACATTTGCAATGTCATTTAAAGGGTGTGGGCTTTATTACGAAAAATTCTCTATTGTCATCTAGTAAGGTCCAGACTCCGTACAGTGGCTTCAAGAGTTTCTATAACCTGGCTCTACCTGCCCTGTGGAACTGTCCCTCACCATTCCCTTGACACATTCTTCTCATTTTATTGAATGCTGTAGGCCTAGATCTTTCTTTGCCCACTCCTCACTGGGCTGGCTCAGTTTACTCTGCTGTCTCAGCTCAGTCTTCACCACCTCCAGGAAGCCTTTTAGAACTGCCTTCGACTGGAGCCAGGGGCCTCCTTCTGGGACTGCCTGCTTCCTCCTCTTCCATCTGAGCTCCCTACATCAGGGTAAACCTTGTTCGGGCTCTCTTCCTGCCTCCCAGACCAGGACCTGGCCTGGGACTATCTGTGGAATGAATGAATGAATGATGTCTACTGTGCTGAAACCTTCAGCCAAATCTCTCTCGTTGGCTTTGAAAACTCCTCCAAAATTATGGTGAAACTAATTAGGTTCCAGTTGCATGGGAAGCAAACAGGTTTGAGAAAAGTGTGCCCACTATATGTGTTCTCTGATAACTTCTAAGATCTGTGGATCCTTCCCAGGACAACTGCGCATCCTACCAACACATCGCACCAAGGAGAGGATTGATGCTGGCCAACACTGTGTGTGAAAGGCTTCTCTGTGTGCAGAGAGCATTCTTTGTAGCCATTTGCTGCTTCTGGTACAGAGCAGACTTGCCCCCTGGTGCCTCAAAGGAGGTCAGAAAGCTGTGATCACACATCACCGCTGATGAGCACTTCTATGCAAGGAGATATGGTGGTGGGGGACAAAGGCACTGGGATACGGCCCCCTTTGAAGAAGTTCTCCAAATATGTCCAGAGAACTAAGGCAATCCACAAGTCCAGGGACATTGTGACAATCAAAAACAAACTCCCCCAAAGGCAGCTGGCTGGAAGCAGTGCAGGTAAGACCTAAATATACACAGCTGTGTATTGTTCTGGATCCAGAGTAAAGAAATAATGGTCACTCTTTGGCTGGTTGCTCTCACTGGGTGTGCTGGGTTTCATGCTTTGTCGTACTTGTTTTTTTTCATGGAGTATTGCCTCTCTCTTTTGAAATTTACAGACTTCAATTGATGCATGAAAACATAATAATTGTACATATTTATGGGGTACCGTGTGATGTTTCCATACATGTATGCTTTGTGTAATGTTTAAACCAGGGTAAATCCAGCCCCTTAAATATGTACCTGTGTGTGTGAGTGTGTGTGTATATGAGTGTGTGCAAATGTGAGTGTGTGTGTTAGTGTGGGTGTGTGAGCATGATTGTGTGAGTGTGAGAGAGAGTGTGTGTGAGTGTGTGAGTGTGGGTGTGTAAGCATGATTGTGTGAGTGTGAGAGAGTGTGTATGTGTGTATGTGTGAGTGTGTATGTGTGTGAGTTTGTGTGTGGTGCCAGGAATGGAACCCGGGGCTGCACCTATGTTAAGCACATGCTCTACCACTAGCTACATCCTCAGACCCTTTATCATTTTTTATAGTGACAACATTCCTCTTCTCTAGCTTTCTGAAATACACTGGACATTATCATTATCTATTGTCTCCCTTTAATTGCATTTTTAAACTGTTTTCCTGTCTTGACATTTTAAGGTCTTAGCCTGAAACACAGCCATCCCTGATTCTGAAAATGGCCTAAAATATTTTTCCTAAGACTGGGTGTCATCCCAGGAACACAAAGGTGGTCTGACTAGAGGATGCTGATCTGGAGTGGAACACTCTAAGAATCAAGCTCATGACCTTCAAGAGACATCTGGTGGGGGGGGGGGCATGAAGGGTGCATGTGGTCAGGCAGGGCTTACTCATGTCCCTCCTTCCTGAGAGGGGCCTTGCCTCACCTGCCAGAGACAGCAACACCTCTCCTTGCCAATGTAACCATAATCACACATCACCAGACCAAATGTCAGCACAGAAACAATTCTTGAGCTTATGTGGGAACATAGGGAAAGAAGTTCTTTTTCTATTGAGGGTGCTCAGAGAATGGATTTAAAGCTGGAGTTTCTGGCTGCCTTCTTGGTACCATCAAGGGAGAGATGGTCTGAGAATAAAATCAATACAGAAGAAACTAGAGCCAAGGGATGGAGATTGCAGGACAAAGTCCTCATGACCAGAGTTCAGTCCCCAGATCCAGCCACTCCTGAAGATATATTCCCAGACTTCTTAGTTAAGCAATCCCATAAATTCACGTTTGGCTTACGCTGGTTTCAGTTCTGTCCCTTGTAACCATTAGAATCTTGACTGGTGAACCTAGTCTCATATAAGAGGGGTTCAAAGCTCAAATGAGAAAATGTATATGGAAGTATAAGCTCAACACAGTAAGAAAACGGAAGGGTTTCTTACTGTTCAACAACAAGGATGACAATATTACTGTTAGGAGGAATAGCATCTTACCAATATTCTTCCCCTCCAGCCATGCATTTTTCATACACAGGTCCCTCTAGCTCCCGGGGACTAGGGAAGATGGCTTCATGATGGACGATGATGGTTTTGATGACTTCGTTGACATGGGCCTGGCAGGACACAGGGTCCTGCCCATCAGGGATGTGCATGAGGGTGGGCCCGAAGCAGATGGCCAGGTTGTAGGGGTCCATCATGTTCTCGTCACTGTACTGGGAGAGGCTGGAGAGAGGAGGTGGCAGGAGTCATCTGGGATAGGCGAATCCTCCCTCTGGGCTTCTTTCTTTGGGGGTAGGCTCTACTTAAACCCAGGAGGCTCCATGTTCTGCTTTAAAAACAAAAGTACCTGCAAACGCCTCAGGCCGCCCCCTCCCAATGGAGGCCAGCCAAAGAAGGGCCCCTTGGTCAGGCACTCACTGGTTGAGGAAAGCGAAGAGGTATCTCATGACCACGATGACCACGCGGGGGAGGGTAATGAGGATCTGTTGGATCTGGTGCACCCTCTCTGCTGGGTTCTCCAGTTCTGTAACATAAAGGGGCTTTTCAGGGTGCTCTTCACCCTGAACACATTTTCACGTCTCCCCTCTGTCATCAGCCCCAGTGGGTCAGTGGGTCGGGGCAGCGGCTCTGCTCACAGTTGGTGGATCCACATGTAAGCCCAGCCTGGCCCATCAGTGTGTCCCATCCCCAGGTCTCAGGGAGAGGTGGGTGGTGTGTCCCACCCAGAACCAATCAGAGTTGGTCTTCAGGACTTTGGGCTGGAGAAACCTATAGAAAGGTGTCCTTGGTCCAGGGAAGAGGGAAATCTGGAGCAGGTAGGGGCTGCTGGGAAGCAAGATCCTGCCTGAGAATGTGGCTGGCACAGAGACAGAGGAGGGACTGCTTTCTGCTGATACCAGCTGAGGTTCTGAGTTCACCTGGGTCTGAACTTTCCAGGTACATCAATGAATACATTCTCTTTTATGGCTTAGGTCAGTTTGAGTTACTGTCACCTGCAACTCCTGATGAACACATACAGGGATCGTGTTTATTAAACTCCTCACATTCACCAACTGCAGCACAGGACTGGCACATAGTAGCTGCTCAGGTAAAAACGGGTGGGGAAAATAACCATCTCTCAAGCTACCTATTGGCCAGGAACTTGGAAGATGCTTGTAATCTCATCTCTCCAGTGCCGTCTGGAGAGACCGGCACTGGTACTTTTATTAGTCAGGCCAGGGGCTGGAGCAGCCAGTTGGACTTGGTAAGAGGACACGAGTGCCTTGTGGACATGGAAAGCTGGTGCTAAGAAAAGTGAGCTCTCAGAGCTCCTAAGTTTATGTGGCTGATGTGCAGCATGATGTCAGTTTCTTTTTCAGGTAACATTTTTCTCATGCAGCCCCTGTCCAGCCTTCTTATTCCATCAGGGAATTCCTTCTAACCCACAGCTTTTCTCATTTCTCCTCTGCATCCAAGGCCCTCACACCAGAGCCACAGCTATCATCTCCAGCTGCCAGCTCTTCCCAAAGTGCCTGGAGATGACGGAGAACTATGCTTCTCAAATGAGGGGTGCTTACATATCTATAGGGCCTCCTGTGGGGCTGCTACAGCGACTGAACAGTAGCGCTGGCACTTGGTATCTAAGGGCCTGGGTTCCAAGTGTCCTGAATTGTGAGTCGCACAAGAAATTTCTCTGCCATAAATTCCAACAGTGGCCCCATGAGTAATCCTGTGCCAGGTGGTTTTATCTATCACATCACCCTTTCAAAACAGAAGTTGCCACCGTTGAGCCTTCGTACACATGGTGATCCCTATAGCTTACCTTCCAAGCCTGCTCCAGGAAGCCTTGCCCAAGCTGCCCAAATTCTGAATCAGAATCTCCTATACACAAATCAGTTCCAATGCTGCTCACTTCAGATGCCTCTGTCCTTAACTTCAGTCATCCCTGCCCGAGTACCACCTCTACTATTATTTATTAATATTGGTTGTGTGTGTGTGTGTGTGTGTGTGCACACACACAGTCCCCAGTACAAGCATTTGGTACTGGGGACTGAATCCAGGGTGCTCTATCACTGAGATACAGCCCCGGTCTTTTTTATTTTTTTATTTTGAGGCAGGGTCTCACTAAGTTTCGGATGCTGTCCTTGAACTTGAGACCCTCCTGCCTTAACCTTCTGAGTTGCTGGGATTATAGGCATGTGCCACTGTGCCTAGCAACAATGTTTTTTCTTAAACACATTTATTTAAATTAGGTACAGGAAGAAATCAATGATAATTTAATAAAAATAGAATAATAATAACAAATTACTCCAAAAAATTATTTTTAAGTTATGAACTATTTCTGGAATTTTCCATTTAATATATTCTGACTGCAGTTGACTATAGGTAACTCAAAAACCACAGAAGGGGGGACTATTGTACATTAAAGCAAAGCAATGTTACTAAATTATAAGTAGACATTGTTGTCTACAAACTTTCTGATACAGAAACCTGGCTCTCCCTGTTTAGAATAGAAGCTGGAAGTCAATGTGAGGTTTTTTCCTTGATGTGGTCACAGGACTTAGGAAGGAACTGAAAGGGACTCTCGTGGAGTGATTCAGGTCAGGCAATGTCATGGCACAAGCTGGAAGTCAATGTTCTTGTCTGCTCAGGAACTGGAATGGGGGGGTTCTGGAAACACTGGATGAGTACATGGCATGGGGCTCATAGAGAAAGATGCTCACAATTAACAACGTAAGAGGGACCCCCAGTCACCTTAGTTTCACCATTTTCCTTGTTCATCATGTTGCTGACCTGACCACCAACCTTCCCTGGCTCCCCATTACCCAAGGCAAAAAGCCCTGGAACCCTTGCAAGCATTCAAGGTCTTCCCCTTTTTGTTCCGTCTTCCTTTTCCAGTCTATCACATCACACACAGGCTGGACACCTTCCTGCTGATTCCAATGGTTGTGTCCCCAAATCTTCCCAGGGTTCCCTGTGTCCACTCCTTCGGGAAGACTTGCTAACGCTGCTCTCTGAGGTCTGACCTGTGAATCCAAGCCCCCTTGGGCTTCTCCTCTGAGTTCCTTCTGTACTCCTTCTCGTTGTAAACACTCTGTTGTCTCCACCTGCCAGGTTCTCTAAGAACCATGGCCACACTTCTTCTTTCACAATATTCCTCTTCTATGCCTACCATAGTGATGAGCCCAAAGTGTAACAGCAATTAAGATTTGTCCAGGAAGTGATTGTTCAACCTGGGAAATACTTACTAATAGTAGATATCAAATCTTGAAACCTTTCCTTAGGAAAGAGTGGATTTTCCAGTCCTCGGAAATACAGTTTTAAAACACCAGCGACTGAATTGATATCTCGCTCATTTTGATCGTCCACAAGGGGGTCTTCACCTGGGTGGAAAAAGGAGACAATATTTCAGGTTGGTAAGGAGGCACAGAACATGTAGATGGCAAAAGAAGTGATCTGGACCAGCCTGAACCAGAAGGAAGGCAGAAGGGACATACCTCCCCAATATATGACACCACCCTCAAGTTCAAAGTTTTCCCTGCAACTTCCCATTTGAAAATATTGAAATCTATAGAAAAGTTGGAAAAATAAAATAAGGAACACCCATTGCCCTTCACTTATTCTCCTCCTGCTATATTTGCTTTCTCTCTTTTCCTGTTTATATTTATTGCTGCTCAACTGTTGGAGAGTACTCCAGAGACATCATGACAGGTCACTGCCAAGTACTTCAACACATTTCTCCAGAGAACCAGGATATTTGCACATAACAACAATAATGTTATTACTCCTAAGAAAATAAACCATCATTCCAAAATAACATCTCATACCTGGCCCACCTTCAAACTTCCCCAATTGTCCCATCGCATCTTTTACAGATATTTTTCAAAAACCTAAGATCTAATCAATGTTCACCCAATTCCTTTGCTGGCTATGCTCCCTTGGCCCTTGAAATGGAAAACAGACTTAATATTTTAGTTTGTTAGTTGGTCTTTTTTTTTTTTTTTTTTTTTTTTTTTTTTTTTTTTTTTAGCTATGGAAGTTTTCTTTATTGATTGCTTGATGTGTAACAATAATTGGCATCTTTTTCACACATTACAAAAAATTATACTTGGCTCAGTATGCAATCTTTTAAGCATAGCCATATTATTTAACAAAAGAAGGGGAAAACCTAGTCTACCCAATACAGCATTTACAAATGCACAAAACATGCCACTTTGGCTTGTATATTGTCTAGATTAAAAAAAAAAAAAATCTCTTTTTAACATAAATAAGTTAGTATAATTTTTCAGTGTCTTTACAGAGTTATGTACACAGGTACACTTCAAATGGTTTTGTTTCATACACTTACACAGGCAATGAAGAAATACTGTTTAAAGATGTAGTATCCATTTCCATTATTCCACAAGTGTGCTTTTCTTTACATGCGCTTTCCTTTAAAAATACTATTTTCCTTTGGGCAAATTAACAATTAGAGAAGATTAAATTAAAAATTATTTCATTTTTTTTGTGTGTATCTGTGAAGCTACTTATCAATCTTTAAAAATACCTCGGGATTTCAAATTGTTTTTACTGTGTGTTAGTTGGTCTTTTTAAGTGCTGACTCTTTTATGAAGAGTGCAGGCCAGGGGCTGGGGTTGGAGCTCAGTGGCAGAGGTCTTGCCTCACATGAGTGAGGCCCTGGGTTCGATCCTCAGCACCACATAAAAATAAATAAATAAAGATATTGTGTCTATTTACAACTAAAAAATATTTTTAAAAAAGTGCAGGCCAGCTGTCTTGCAGAATAGAGTCATACTCTGGATTTGTCTGATTGCTTCCTCGTGATCAGGTTCAGGTTAAGTATCTTCGGCAAGAATACCGCATGTGTAAAAAACAGAACAAAACAAGCATTGCAGGAGCGACATGGTGGACACTTCCCTACATCCCATCAGGTGACGCATACGTCAGGCTGTCCTGCTCCTGGTGAGGCTCTGTGATGGCTGGGTTATGGTGGTGGCCTCCAGATTTCTACATTGTGAAGCTATTTTCCCCTTTATAATAAATAAGTGATTTATGAAACGATACTCTAAGTATCCTGACACCCTGAGACTGCCTGCTCTTCACTGTGCCCAACACATTGCATCAGTGGTTTGGGCATCCAATGATGATTTGTACCCAAACTGTTACACTGGGGATTGCAAAGTGGTGATTTTTCATATCGTCATTTCTCCTGTAGCTATTAGCTGGGATTCTTTTGGAAAGAGCTTTCCCTGTGTTCCCTCTTCCCCTTATTTGTCAGCATCTTTAGAGACATTTTATGTTATTTAAATTCAATGTGTTATAATTTATTACCATTATTGTTCTTTGGGATTGCTTAAATTGTCCTACATTTGGCTGGGGAATCCTTTGTTATGTCCTTTTAATGTGATCCTCACTGAGCAGTTCTTTGCTTTCTGGACAAAAAAAAAAAAAAGCCCTTTTACTTTCCTTGACCCATATCTGGAATTAAAGGTTTTTCCAAGGAGCCCTCTGTTATTTGTAGAAAATGGTAACATAAAGAGCTTCCTGGCCTTTCCAGTGAATAAAACTTAAATGCACATTTTTTTTCATGAGTTCATACTGATGTATCATAACTATATTTAAGACACAAGGTTTTCTTTACTTCATTTATTTTGTATTCATATAGACAGTTGCCAGCTTACAATTGGTTGAGGGGACAATTTTTTTAATATTTATTTTTTAGGTTTTTTTTTTTTAGGTGGACACAATACCTTTATTTTTTTATTTTTATGTGGTGTTGAGGATTGAACCCAGCGCCCCGCGCATGCCACATCCCCAGCCCAAGGGACAATTTTTTGACTTTTTGATGGTGTAAGATATCCAGACCAATGTGGTTTCACCTTTAGTCTTTGATAAATGACATTGGATATTTAACATTTTATAAAATAGGCTTTTGTGTGAGATGACTTTGCCCAATTCTAGGCTAACGTCAGTGTTCTGAGCACATTTAAATTAGGCTGGGCTGAGCCATGGTGTTTAGTAGGTTAGATTCATTCAATGCTTTTCCAATCCTATGGTATTTTCAATTTATGATGTGTTTATCAGGATATACTCCCATTGTAAATTGTGAAGCATCTGTATATCTAATTTTGTAGTGAAAATCTTGGTTCTGAATAATATTGATAATATATTTTTCTGTTTTATCCTACAATATGCATAAAATACTATCAGAGTTTTAATAGCAATATTACTATTAACGATAAACCTACTGTGTACAATTTAAGATTTATTTCTAGGACTCTGCTTTTATTTTTATTTAGTTTTAGTTCCCCCCCCCCCCCGGCTTTTTTTTTGGTTGTTGTTCTTGGAATGTATCCCACTGAAGATGTATAGTCAGAAGACAAAAAATAGCTTAGTGGTTGCCAAGGCCTGGGGCAGGGTGTGGGATATAGGAGTGACCATATGTGAGTACGAGGTTCCTGTTTAAGATAGTGAAAGAATTCTGGATTACAATGGTGACTGCACAATCAGTAAATATACTAGAAATCATTGAAATGTAGACTTTAAAAAATGGTGAACATATGGTAGGTAACTCAATAGAGTTAAAATGTATGTTAAAGTGTATGCTAAAAATGTATGTTCACAGATCATGTTTGAAAGTTACTTTCTGTGATTACCAATTTGATACAGTTAAATTATTTCTATTTGTATTCAATTATAGGGGCTAATTTTTTTTTAGAAATCCTTTTTTAAAAATTTACAGTTTTAAAGCTAGGCATGGTGACGCATGCCTGTAATCCCAGTGGTTGGGAGGCTGAGACAGGAGGATTGTAAGTTCAAAGCAGGTTTCAGCAAAAATGAGGCACTAAGCAACTCAGTGAGACCCTGTCTCTAAATAAAATACAAAATAGGGCTGGAGATGCTGCTCAGTGGGCAAGTGCCCCTGAGTTCAATCCCCAGTACCAAAAAAAAAATTACACTTTTGAAAACACCAAGGAGTAACAGAGTCCAAGAGTTAAAACCAGATTGAAAATTGCTCTGAGACATGATCTTCTTTTATCCTTCTCCATCTATACTTCATACTTAACCATTTTTGTTAGTTTCTAGTTTGTTCTACTTTATTTCTGGAAACATAAATAAGCAAACACATGTACAGTTGGCCCTCCATATTTGCATGATCCACATTCATGGATTCAACCAACAGAGGATGGAATATTTTTCCAAAGAGAAAAAAAATGCTTATATACTAAACATATGCAGGCTTAACTGCAAACAGTACAGTCTAATAACTAATAATAGGGCATGAACACTGCATTGGGTATTATAAGTTATTTAGAAATGGTTTAAAGTATACAGCCAAATTCTTCTTCACTGGGGCTACACCACTTTATCCTGTTACCAGCAACATCACCTTGAGAGTACTATTTTCCATAGCCCTGCCCATGGCATCCTGTCAGTCTCAAGAATTTTTGCCAATTGTTCATCTAGGGAGAAGCGCTGTTCATTTTAATCCAGGGCTGTTGAGCTGGTTGATCACTGGGAATTTCCATGGGAGAGATAAGAAAAAGCCAAGAGCCATCTAATGCCTTCATGAAAGTGTTGAGGGATGTTTGCAAAACGGGCTTCTCCCTCCTTCTCCTAAGCAGCCCACAGTACCTTAAGTCTGGCAATGGAGGGAAGAATTGGCAGCTCATACTTGAATCTCTTCATTCTGCCTCTGTCAGAAGTGAATGTGTGTCACTAGCAGGGTCTCTGCCGATTCCAATATACTTCAGTGCAAATTAGAGAAAGGGTCCCTTCCTTCCTGTACCGGGCTTGTGGTTTATAGGGCAGAAGCCAGAGTTCCACTCTGACCTGCCCTCTTGGCTGGCATCCCTGTGCAGTGCCCAGCCTGAACAACCATGTGTGGCAGCTCAGATGCTGATGTTCTATAGATTAACCTCTCAGAGGAGATAAGAATTTGTCCCCCACAAGACTTCCTCATGGGAAAGGAAAAAAAGAACACATTAAAAAATATTTGCCGGGGCTGGGGATCTGGCTCAAGTGGTAGCGCGCTTGCCTGGCATGCATGCGGCCCGGGTTCGATCCTCATGTACCACATACAAACAAAGATGTTGTGTCTGCCGATACTTGAAAAATAAATATTAAAAAAATTAAAAAAAAATATTTGCCTATATGCACAAGGACCTTTTCAAGTAAGAAGCACATTCAGGCAAGTGATGTCTGAAACATCAGCACCGCAAGGCCCCAAGGGAGGGTTGGTTTCAACATCCTTCTCTCCTGAGGGAGAGAGAAGCCCAGTCAGGCGAAGCAATGTGCCTAAACTCATGTAGGCAGAGCAGACACCAGCAGTCCCAGGTTTCATGCCTGGGAGACATTCTTTCTTTTAAGTGTGATTTTCAAATCTCTCTCTCTGCTCATCTGCATGCTGCCTGTGTATACACACGCCTCCACCCACTCTCCTACTCTCCTTCCTTTACAATAGAATTTTGCCTTTTAATTTTAAGAATTTTTTTATAATACCTTTATTCTATTTATTTATTTTTATGTGGTGCGAGGATTGAACCCAGGGCCTCACACAGGCTAGGCAAGCACTCTACCACTGAACTACAGCCCCAGCCCAGATTTTATTTTATTTTTTCCCTCAAGAAAAATAGAGTTCCTATGAAATCCCAATATACAGAACAAAGCTGTTGCCTGAAGTTGTGGGGAGGGAATACAAACCCCACCTCCTCGGTTCCCTCTCCCTCTCCCTCTCTGCAGCAGCCTGAGAAATGTGAAAATGTGCTCTATTTTCAGGTTGTGGTCTTAGGATTCAAAAATCACATGGATTTTTTTTTTCTCCATGTTACCTGTTAGCTCCCACTGCTAAGCATGATTAACAGTGGTTTTAAATATACATGCACACACACACACATTTGTGTATACACACACCATTATTTCTGGCCCTTCTTCCCAGAAGGCTCTTGGTCCAGGGCATAGGCCACCTGGAGTGAGCCAGGAAGAGGAAATAACACTAGTCTGAGGGAAGGTGGGAGAATATCCCTGGGATTGCCCAGGTAAGAAGCCAGACCCAGGGCACTTTATGGCAAGTATCAAGAAACAGAAAAGAATAAGTGAGAAATTGGGGCACTGGGCAGTCCAGAAAAGCCAACAATAAATTTTTCTTAAAAAGACATACCAGGGACTATTCTTTTAGAAGCTATGCCTCATTGTGGCCTCAGGTGGAACAGAGAACAAGGCTGGTGAGAGAATGAGATTCATTTTGGAATCCTGGGGAAAGGGAAAGGGGCCAATTGTGTACGTGAGGCAAAGAGAAAAGAGAAAATGTTTTTTGCAGCTGAGATGTGGGTCAGGTGATCTCTGCCCAGCTGGGCTCTGCCTGAGGGGATCCAAGGCTTGTTAGGAGCAGAAAATTCTTTTCAATTACACATCACCCCTACAGAAGCACCCAAGCAAGTGACAGGAGGTGCTGACCTTAGACAATCACATTGGAGAAGGGAAGAAAGCAGCCCTGTGGGGCTGGGGAGAGGCTAGGGCTGTCTGTTTCAACAAGGTTACCTACAGGGTATGGAGAAGCAGGAAAATGCAAGGATGAGGCGCCTGCCAGCTGGAGGCAAGGGGCAAGGAGTTCACACAAGAGATCTGGGGCAGAGCAATAAGGAATTCTGGGTAATGAGATGGGCCCAGGAGCATAGGACCAGTCAGAGTTCCAGACCATAGTTTTGTACATTTACCATGAACCCAGGAGAGCAGGGGTGCTAAGGAGTTTGGGGAAATGAAGAGACAGAACTCTAGAATGGGCCATCATGTGACATTGAGAGATGCAGGGCAATGATGAACAATAGATGCTTCTTGCTTTACGGCCTTTGCCTTGGCTTGGAAAGCCCTTGCTTCCCCTGGCTCCTTCTCCTTAGGCCTCAGCTTAGGCTTTTCCTCCAAGAGAAGCCTTCCCTGGCTTTGCTATTCCTCCTCTGTTCATCCAAGTCAGGTAAGGGGCTCTTATGCTGCCTAGTGTTTACCCCAGCAATGCACCGATCATGCTGTTTGTTAAACTGGCTCCCCCTCTAGTAGTACCCATTGGTTCGTATTGCATTTCCTGGCTTTAGTCTGTTACCTCACACAGTGGAGTGCATGTCGAGTGCCTGAATAAACGCCCTAGAGAGCCTGGGACAGGATGGTTCTGGGCTCTCTGTCCTATGCACCCATGATCCTGGTGTGGACTCCAGAGCTAAAGGTCCCCTGGCCCCTCAGAGGCCACTGGGCACTACTTCAGCCAAATCACATTCTTGACACCTGGTTCCAAGCCAGAGCGCATAGGGCTGCAAAAGTCCTGTGTGTGGGGTAGGCAGGGTGTGAAGCTGCAGGATGCTTCCTCCACTCCAGCTGGACAATCTTAGCATGCAGTTGAGAGGACTGGGATGCAGGGAGGTTGCTTGAGAGGCAGCTCCTTCAGGGAAAGTGAGGCAACAGAGAGAATTCTATAGGTGGGACCTCAGGGAGAGGCCTGCTCCAAGCATAATAACAGAGGTAAACCATCCACCTCCCAAGACTGTTAGAGGCTTACATGAAAGAATGGGTGAGAATGTGCTCTCTCGTCCATTGGGATGTGATGTGTTGCTAGGAAATGGATTTGGGATCAGGGTCCTCAGACCAAAATCAGTATCAGAACCATTTGGAGAATAAGGCAGTAAATCAGCATTGAGATGAGACAGATTATGGAAATGGACTTTGGGTCTCTCTAAAATGTTAGAAAACTGGAGGCAGAGACACTGTCTGGGATACCTGTGTATTAATTCTGGGGAACTCCTCATCCTCCCTGGTGATGAAGATTTGAACTTGCTAGTGCTTCCTGTTCCCCCAAAACAACAAGACAAGCACAGCATAGCCAAAGGCATAGGTAAGTCCTTCCTTTCTGTGGACAATATCTCTAACCACCTGCCTCATCAGGGATTCTGAGGCCAATGGAGGATATACCCCCCCCCAAAAAAAAAAAATCACAGGTATCCTGTCTTGGTGTCCACATCATTTCTTCCTTCCTTCCTTGCTTCCTTCCTTCTCACTCCCTCTCTCCCTCCCCCATCCTTCCTTCCTTTCTTTCTATTTCTTTCTTTTTTTTGTATGTGTGTTTTTAGTTTTTGGTTTTTGATACTAGGGATTGAACACTACATTGTTTTACCACTGAACCACATCCTTAGCAATTTTTATTTTTTATTTTGAAACCCGGTCTCACTAGGTTGCTGAGGCTGGCCTTGACCCTCTGATCCTCCTGCCTTAGCTTCCTGAATCGCTGAAATTACAGGCATGTAATGGCACACCTCTAATAAGCATTTATATCCTTGGCTAATCAAAGTGGCAAGTAAGTTGGGGGTGAAGGAAGAGTGGTCTCTTCCTCTCAATGCACAGCTTGCCAAAAACACTATTAAAATGAAGAATTGGACTATATTAAAAGTCACTCAGTATTATCTATGTTCTTTCAACTTTTCTAAAAAAAGCTTCCTTTACAGACTTAAAAGGCTCTTTTTTCAAAAAGAAAGTCAGCCACAAGCAATTGTACAGGATGAGCAACCCTCACCCAAAATTCGTGGGATCAAAAGTGTTTCAGATTTCCAGATTTGGGAATATTTGCATGTTTATAATGGCATATCTTAGGGATGGGACCTAAGCCTAAACATGAAATCTGTGTTTCATATATACCTTAGACACATAGCCTGTGGGTCCTAGGCAGTCACTGTTACCACATCCAGCCACATTACAGACTTTATTTTTGAGTGTAACTGTACATTGGCTGTGAACCAGCAGATGCGCTCAGGTATGAAATTTTTCACTTGTGTGTAATATCAGTGTTCAAAAAGTTTTGGATTCTGGAGCATTTTGAAATTTGAATTTTCAGAACAGGAATGCTCCACCTGTAATAGTACATAAGTATTAAGAGTTAGTTGTTGGAGGGAAACAAACAGATCTTGGCTTTTGCCAGTTTCTGTGGTGTGGTGTAAACACTCCAGTCAGGGCTGATTTCTAGCTACCAGGGAGAAGCCACTGAATGCAAAATTGGGAATAGCTGTACATGATCAGCTCACACAAGCCAGTGCAATCCCAGGAATCCTTCAAGCTGCCAGTTCTAAAACATATGTCAATACCCATCCTGGCTTCCCTCAGCCACGAACTTCAGAGAGCCACTCTGCACCCACCTCTCTCAAAAGAATTCTTGATGTCATTCACTTCGACCTGAGATCCAGGCACTCTGAAGATCCCCTGCTGCTGGAGTCCTAAGATAGAAACATACAGAGAAAGAAACAGTAAAGGACATGAGACCAACATGAGTCTGTGGGAGTATTGGTAACTCGCTCCCTTGCTTGTCTCTTTCTCCCTCCACCTTTTACAAGAGGATCATTCCCAATGACAGTCCCCTGGCAGAACCTGTGCCACTGGAGGGATTAAAGGACCTGCCTCGTTCTCAATGGAATTAATGGGGAGACTCATAATCATTCCCTGATTCCGTTTTCCACATAAAACAATTCATATAACTATAGTTATAGTTCAGGAAGTATTTACTCTTAAAGACAGTATGTAGTCAAAGTTAGGGGGTATACAGAATATACTCAATAAATGCTGACCACCTCTTTGTTAAACAGTACCGAATTTCTAGGAGCCAAGTGTCTGACCCCAATGTCCTGGCTCACTCCACACAGCCATGCTGACCTTGCTTCCCACATTAGGCCTTCCCCATTCTCCATCCTCTCCACCAGGCTGCTCAGCTGCTGTCCCTTCTGTTTATTTGGAACTGATTTCAAATATCACCTCCTCAGAGAGGTTTTCTGTCACTGCCTTAGTCAAAGCAGCACCCCCCCCCCCACCATTCTCTACCCCTTTTAGTGAATTTTGTAGCATTATCCATAGTTGTAATTTCATTGCAGTCAGCCCTCTGCATCCACGGCTTCCTCATCGGTGGATTCAACCAAATGCAGATTGAAAGCATTTGAGGAAAAAAAAATATGCCTGTACCAAACATGTGCAGATGTTTTTTCTTGTCATTATTCCTAAACAATAGAATATGACAACGATTTACATGGCATTCACATTGTATGAGTTATTATAAGGCATCTAGAGATGATTTAAAGTCTGCAGGAGGTGTATGCAAATACTACACCATTTTACATAATGGATCTGAGCATCTGTGCATTTTGGTATCTGCAGGAATTTGGATATAGAGGGATGACCATGTTTATCTTTCTGCCTGTTAATTTCCTCACCCTCTTATTTAGAAATATAAACCCCCCAGGGAAGACATTATATCTGTCTTGTTCACCCTTGTGCTCCCACTGTTCAAAACAGTGCCTGTTATACACCCAGTAAACATATTTTTGGAGGGATGAGTAAGTGGATAAGCAGAAGTTACCTTCTCGTGACAACTGGTTACCAAATCCCAGACACTGTTTCCTCCATGGGATTTATAATCTAGTAGGATTAACTGATTTACTGGCCCTGGGGTTGGTTGGGAGCAAAAAAAAGGGACTAAAATAATCCTGCTGTCTACTCCCTCATTGCACCCCTGTTATCCTAAGCCCTGGGTCCCTCACCACTATGTCCCATCCCCCACCCACCAAGACACACAGCTCCAATGTCAGCACTCCAAACAGCAGCTGTTCCCTGGAGCATGTTCCTCCTCAGAAGCAGAACAGTGACAGGAAGTCTTCCAAGACAAATTAGAATTTCATTCCTACCAGAACAGTCCAGCACCTGTTCTGCAGAGAGCTGAAAGTACTGACCCAAGATTGATCTTACCATATAAATTGATGTATCGGATGCAGCTCTCAACTACAAGTGGTATAGCTTGTCCTGAATCCTTAAGGGGAAAAAAAATGTGAGTTTTATTGGGCTTGGCAACCACCACTGGAAAAAGATACTGCAAACACAAATTAACAATTCAAGCCAGAATATTAGTACCATCAGATTAGTAGGAAAATAAGCAAGAAAGTGCTAATCCTAAAGTCTCTGTGATAATTAACAATAAAGAGTCTTTAGTTAGTGCAGAAAAAAGCATAGCTATGATAATCTGAAAGAAATGCTCTGTCTTCTTACCCAGCCAGCAAGGAATCTGGGATCATGAGGTTTGACAGGCACATCTAGGACAGGGGAGAGGGAACCCGCCCTGTGGAGGGGGCTGGAGTCTGACCTTGAAGGATGCTCTGCCTCCCACTCCACTTTGCTCCAACTCAACCTTCTTCTGCCAGTGCTCATGTGTCCAAAGGCAAGATCAAGGCCTCTTCCCATTACTGAGGGGCCTGATGGCAGAATTAAGAACATGCCCTGTGGGAAGCCAGGCTGGCCCCCATGGGTTTCTTCTGAGCTCTAAGAAGGGAAGGCTAGTTCCAGTCATTACAAGCTAAACATGCAGATACACACACTGAGACTGTAGACTTATCCAGACTCTCTATGGCTGGGCAAGGGGCAATTTCCTTTGGATTCCAAGACTGGTTGACCTCCCTATTATTTCAGGTCATTTAAAGAACACAGAATTTTTTTTTTTGAACTTTCTTTGAAAAGGGGTCAAATTAAGTTACTAGCCTCCTCAGAAGGTGAGGGGACAAGGAAGCATATGCAATATGCTCTTGCAAAGGTGGCGTGGACTTCAATGCTCCTGGCTCTTCCACACCCGACCTGTCAGTTCTGCCCTTGCTGGAGTGCAGTCGGGAAAGGGAAGGATGTGACCAATCGGCAACAGCCAAAGTGGGCTCTGCTCTGCAAATCCTATCTAAAGACAGATTCCATCCAATTGCAAGGGGCTAATGGGCCTTTCTAGTAAATACCTGGTTCCTGGTTCGAGCATTTCTTCTTCCTCTGATAACAAAAAATAAACAGGCAGCAGAGCAGGAGAAAAAGAAAAGATTATGCAGGAATAAGATCAGTTATAGTAAGCAGATAGTTCAGAGTCCGTGAACGCCAAAATGCAATGGCAGCCAGCAAAGGTCCTGGGGGCCTGCCAATGGGCCTGCTGTGGGGAGGGCCACCCTGACCTCTCTTTCTCACTGGCCTTCCAGGAGCTACCCTCAGCCAGCCTCCCAATAGGTAGACTCAGCTCCTTTGCCAGACACCGGTAAAGAAGGGGCCTCTTTGTCCTTATCAAAGTACAGGAAGTATATCTTGAGCTCAGTCCCATCTCCAAATCTACTTCACTTCAACAAAAGGGATGACTGATTCACAAAAGGGAAGAGCCCACCGAAGTCCCCAGAGGATAAACCCAGATGCCAACGCAAAGAAACACACCTTATATCTACTCTAACCTGTCCCTGGAATTCAGCCCAGAAATCCTCATTCTTGGTAAAAAGTTCAACTTTACAAGATGATATTTATTGGGAGCCTAGCCAGAGGGATTCCACCAGAGCCCAAACTTCAAACATTTCCCCACATTCTCCCAATACTTGGCTTGCTTTTCTGGGTATCTACTTGGCTTTGCTCTGCTTCCTATCCCTAGTTCTCCCTCTCGCACCCGGAACCCTGCTGAAACCAAAGATGAAGGCTGGGAGGACAGAGAGAAGGTGGGTCACCTTTCTGATTTTAGGGGTGGAACCCGAGCCTTTGCTTTCACTAAAAACTCCCAGTGTTCAGAGAACCTGTTGGCTATTTCTTGCCACATGGGCAGTAGGTCAAACTCTGAGATGGGTGCTGTGTCTCAGTCAGGCCTGTTGAGGAGGCTGAGCTGAGAATTTGGAGGAGGTGTGACCCCCCAGCTGGTGCCACCTATCTAGACTCCAGCATCTCAAAAAGTGGAATTATCTGCTACCTGACATCTGGCTAAAACTATCTCAATCACAGAATCTACAGAGCAAACAGCCTGGCCCAAGGGGGCTCCAGAAGCATTAACCTAAAGTTAATGATAATAGGCAGGACTTACATTGCGCTTATACTGTGCTGGCCAGTGTTATAGAAGAATGGCCTGCCTAAAAGCTCACTCAATCCTCATCACATAAGGTAGGTCATTACCATTGTCATCTCCCAGAAGCAAGATGGAGCCTGTCCCCTGCCCCAGAGGTGTACCTCCTGGGCCTCAAAATACACTCTTGGAATAAAAATGGGATCTCCTTCTGAGAACAACAACAAAAAAAAAGCTAGAATTTAAGTATATTTAAGTAGAGTCCTAGAAATTTCTAAATCTAAATCCAACGACATTTATTTATTAATAACTTGACAATGCTCCCTTGCCTGCTGAAACATCAGAGTCATGGAGTCCCACTGATTTTATTTCACTGAGATACTTTCCACAGGTGTGGTTTTTCAAAGCTGGGACAGATTGATTGATTGATTGATTGATTGGATGATACTAGGGATTGAACCCAGGGGCACTTTACTATTGAGCTATATCCCCAATCCTTTTATTTTGAGACAGGGTCTCACTAAGTAGCTTAGGGCTTCTCTTAGTTGTTGAGGCTGGCCTTGATCTTGTGATCCTCCTACCTCAGCCTCGAGATTACAGGTAATCATCACTGCACCTAGCAAAAGCTGGGGACTCTTAAATTTAATGGCCCGAAAGATAGCACATGAACTAGAATCAAAAATTAAATTCCATTCTCATTAGTTGAAGAACTGAATAAATTAGACTGTTCCCTCACTTTCTGAAAGTTAAAAATCCTTCAGAGTAAATCGATGCTGTTTGAAACTCTGACTACTGAGCTCATAGTAGGCACACAGAATAAGTTTCCTGAACTGCAATGATTATAGGTGCTACAGGTACCATGTGACTATAAAGAAATGCAATAGCATTTAACAAATATACCTTTTTTTCCCCCAATCATATTAGTATTCTTCTCCCTTGGCCCCTTATGAGGCAGTGCACTTACTCCTACAATGCCACAACTATTCATATGCGCTGGGGGCTTTTTTCAGAGTTAGTTGACAGGTACCACTGTACCATATTCCCTTTGCCACTTCAGATTTCCAGTGGTGTCACAAAGCTAAGCTTCAAATGCAGCTTTTTATTCCAAAATGTCCATTTTAACACAAAGTTAACACCAATGACAGAGGCCAGGCAAGAGGGCTCTAAAGAAGACTGGCTAAAAAGTTGTGGCAGCAAAGGTGATGGTGATATAATTAGAAGAAGAAGATGGCATCCCAAGGCAACTAGCTCAATGGGCACATGCTCATGTGGTCAGGGGAATGAAGTTGGATGACTTTACAGTCACACAATACATGCAGGATCTATTAAGAGAACATTTAACTCAATGGAATACCTAATTTTAAAATACTGTCAAATAAGAGTGAATTCCTTCCAAAGATAAAGCAAATTAGGGAAGTTGTCCCTGTTCTGAACCTTTGTTCCTTTTGTTCCTCCTTTCAGGGGCTCCTTCTATCCAACTCCACAGGCCAGCCCTGTACCTAGTTCTTCTCTGTCCTGAAAGCCTGTGATGTAACCCATATGCATACAGAGGAAAGAAAGCTGGCGCAGGGGCTGCCTCCATAACTCCAAAGTCATCAGCAATGCCCAAATACCTTCACTTGTGTCCTGATTGACACCAGTCTTCTTTTCTGAAGAAAGTGTCTTGATTGGCTGGGGGCAGGCTCTCAAATAACCAGAAAGGATTTTGCCTCTGTTCCCCTAAGTAATAAAAATGCATATCCCCCTGCCTGCTGCTCTTTGCAATACCATCACCATCTTAAATTGCCTAGAATGGTTCTATCTGCGATGGCTTGTTCTTTTTTTTAAATATTTTATTATTTTTTAGTTGTAGTTGGACACAATACCCCTATTTCGTTTGTTTATTTTTATGTGGTGCTGAGGATCGAACCTAGGGCCCCACACATGCGAGGCGAGCGCTCAATTGCTAAGCCATAACCCCAGCCCCATGGATAGCTTGTTCTTATACCCTTTACATCAAAGGAAAAAGAAAAAAGGATAGAGAAATTTATCTAGTCAAAATGCTTTAATATTTGGTTTGAGGTGTCATGGGTTAACTTGTGATTCTAAAAGGACCACCTCGACTCTTCTCCCCTGTTCTAAACCATCTAAAAAGACAAAACTAGGTGGGAAGAATTTCTCTCACTCAAATTGTATGTGTTTCCTTTGCTGATATCTACTCAACTAAATGAAATAAAATAATGCACTGGTATAAAAACACACTATTACCCATAGGGATTTTGTTGGTGTTGCTTTCAATCAGTCTCCTCTTGAGAGATGTGGGTGTAAAGTATAATGGGGTTTTTCCTTTCTTCTTCTTTCTGTTGTGGTGCTAGGGATGGAACTCAGGGTCTCCCACACGGCAGGTAAATACCTACCATTGAACTACATCCCAGCAGTAGATAATGGGATTTTCCTAACTGTCCCTCAAGCTTTAGGACTACAGTTCCTGAAGCAGTGAAGTGTCTGGCGGTTCAACCCCACTTGGACTTGGTTGATCAGGCATTTCCCCCTAGGACTGAGAATCGTGGACAGTATTAGGGGCACCTGGTCAGAGCAAAGCAGCTGTGATGAAGGGTCCTCACTGAAGCTACCAGCAAGCTGCAACAAGGAGCTAGCTCAATCAGGACAGGCCCAGGAATGGAATGGAAAGTCAGTTGGGACACATTGTCAGCTGGAGCATGAGGGTGGACAGAGGCTGCCATTACATTGGGCACATTCGCGGACTCCATGGCTCCCCAGCAAGTACCTTAATGAACGTTTCCATACTGCCGTTAAAGAGTTTATGGCTACACACTGAAAGAGGCCTAGGTCTCCTCATTTTCTGTGGTTTAGGGGGAAGGCAGGGGGGCCTAGGGGAAAACGGAACAAAAGAAATCAAGAAAACAACAAACATAAACATCCAACTGGGAAAGACGCTCTTAAAACCCCAAACTGGAGGAGAACATAAATGTGAATGGAAGCCCCTGGACCCCCAAAGCATTGGTTTCCAATGTTCCATCTGAGGCTTTTGGGTGTCTTAAGAAATCTTAATTTACCCACAATGCCAGGCAGGAGCAACTCTCATGGAACACAAATGCATTCTAAATTAATGTTGGGGGTTGGGGCAGTATGTGTCCAAGAAACCACAGAAACTCTAATAATCAGAGGCCGTTATCCTGCAAAGCTGACCAGATGGAAGGGGGATCAGGGGAGAGAGATGTAATCAATAGCCCAAGAAAGCAAGAGACTTTCAAAAACTATTGGGAGGGTTAATTTTCATTATTTTGGCTTAAATCCATCACCAAGTCTCAACTCCCAATGTACCAGGGCACTCATCTTCCTAATGCTTCTTGGCATTTCAAATGCACTTGACTAATCTTTATTTCATTGATCTGAGAGCCAGGCAATTATTATTCTCATTTCTGAGATGAAGAAGCTGATGCCAGGAGGCAGGCCGCAGCTTCTTCGGGGTCCCCAGGTGACCTGGGATGATGATAATACCCTGTTCTTCAGTAAAGTACACTTTTGATTAAAGCACTTTCAAGTCCATTATCACACTTAACAGATGTCAACATATGGCCCCATTTTACAGAGGCAGAAACTGAGGCCAGAGGGCAGAAGTGGCAGAGCCAGCCCCAAACCTAGGCCCTTTGGGATCCACCTCCAGGGTTTTTCCTACCAGATCACAGTCATGGAGCCTTAGGGTTCCTTTTCATTTCCAGCCAAGGATTCTTCTATCCCACCAACCCTTGCCATGGGGTCAGGATGAAAGTGTCTTGCTTTGCTTTAGGATCCCCACTACCTGTGCTCTGCTCTTGGCCACAGGGAGGGGAAACACACCACAGTTTACCAGGAACAATGAAACTGCCACAAACACTATACCCGTTTCCAGAGTTGCTCACCATGCATAGGACTGTGTGGCTTATTTGCTCATGACATTACCCAACTAGCACGAATTGAGGCTGCCACATTTTCCAGGCAAAGGTTGTTTTTTTTGTGTGTGTGTTTTTTTTTTTTTTTTGCTGTTTTTGTTTTGTTTTTGAGGTTAGGAGGAGGGCCCCTAATCAAGAGAGGCAGTCATTTCCAAATGGCTTGGTTCCAAATTTGTGGAGCACAAAGTGGGTACTCAGCCAGACACAGAGAATATCCACACATGACAAGCAAAGCCCTGGTCCCCAAAGTCTTGATTGATGTCTGTGAATGGGCAGGAAGGTGTAGACAATCAAGACAAATGAGGCTCATGCTGCCTCTTTCAGGGAGCTTGCTGTACCTGTCTCCTGGAGCAGGCCAGCCTGGGGAATGCTGACCAACTCCTCCTAGGAGTTGAACATTGAGCAAATTCTGCTAAGCTCCAGGGCATGCATGGGCAAAGACACACTCCAACTAGCATGCCACCCAAACAGTGGAACCAAAATAACAGCACAGACCAAAATTTTGTAAAGAAACAACAGGCAAGATTATTTCAAGCCCATCTTGGATCTAAGTCAATTTGGTTAGCTAAGTCCGTGTCATTTCTTTTTCAAAAATTACTTATTTTCTGAGGCTGTGTGTATAGAAGGAGGGGTGGGATTTCTAACAATGGACTTGGTTTTGAATTTCCAAATGCAAAAAAGCTGAAAGAGAGTGCCAAAAACATGACACGAGGCCACAGGTTTTAACTTTGGGGATCAGAAATAACTTAAGGCTAGCAATATTGTCACCTTGTTTTAGATCATTTCCTTATCCCACATTGAGGATGACCTCAAAACAACCCTGTGAGGTCGGCAAGAACTGCTAAACCCATTTCACTCAGAAGGCAAATGAGCCCACGGCAGTGAACGGACGCCCCTAGTCACACAAATAAAATGTGATTGAAGCTGGGAGTAGAATGCTGCTCTCCCTACTTGAGACTCCAGTGTGACTGTGACATGGAGAAAGTGATTTTATCACAGAACAGCCAGCAGTCATATTGATTTATCTACTAAATGCTTGTGGCCAGGAAGAGTGGAGACTCATGGTGCAGGTGATGGACAACCAGGATCAAAAATCTCTGTGGTGCCATTTGGAAGGTTTTCTTAACATAAGTCCTAAGCGTTTTTTTTTTTTTTTTAAAGAAACTTTACACAAAGTGGAAATAAAAGGAAAATAGTATATCCTTCCCCATTTTCCCTGCCCAATTCAGAAAACAAAGGGCCATTTGTATCACACTGGGACTTCTTTCTGTGTGGCTCTGTGCACTGACTGGAATCTCTGACAGGGAACCGTAGCTATCCCAACTTTGCACGATATCAAATCTGTATAGACTTACTGAAGTGCTGGGTGGGGCACAAAGTGGGGAGCAGGGGGACAGCTCAGCCAAGGAAAGTGGGGCAGCCTAAGCCTTCCATCTCTTCTGCTGCTCAGTTGCAGAGCAAAAAAGGAAAGAAAGAGAGAGAAAAAGAAAGGCAGGGCAAACAGGGACAGAGAAAGCCACAGAGAGGAAGAAAGAGAAACCAGAGACCAATGTCCCCTTTCTGCCTTTCAACCAAGATGAAAATCAATATATGTTGGCAACACAAGTGTTGGCTTGAAATTATTCTGTGACCAAAACAATGTGATTAGAAATTTCCCTAAAAAACCTAATAGACATGGATGTCAAATCCAAAATGTTGGCAATACCAAAGTTCAATGCAGTGAAGCTCTAGGGGGATGTGTCTGTGTATATGCTGAGTTGTATTTGTCTAGACACTATGTCAAGTAATTTCACCTCTAATCTAGACCACAGGGCACATCCTCCTGGGTTAGGGAGGCTAACTTTGTTTGAATGACAATAATTACAAATTCATGTTTTTCCATGGCTTTGCCATTTGTCATATACTTTTTAAGTACAATATCATATCTGGCCAGCCTAAGTTATAGTTATTATAAATTTGGACTATTCAAAGATAAGGTTCTTAAGTGTGAGAAATACAACATGTTGCATCTGGTGTGCAAAAACTGGCCCTTCTAGACACAGTTACCAGCAACCTGGCTTAGGGAACCTGCTCAAATGACCATCCTAAATGAGAGTGACTATGTGCAAGGGTCTATGAAAGGTATAGAGAGTCAAAGTACAGAGACATTTCACCCAGGGCCTTCTGTGATTAATTTTAAAATTTTTTCCAAGTTGGCAACAAGTTCCACAAGTTAAATAATGATTGTGGAGGCAAGGACAGGCTTCTAGTTTATGAACAAAGTTGCCTTTGACCTTGGCCAGGAGCCAGAGTGCATCCTCTCCTAGGTCTAGAGTTTAGTGGCAGGGTATCTAAGTGTGAGGTCTGGTAACTTTAGCTTGAATTTTCCAAGTCCTTGGTTAAAGTGGGTGTGGAAGACAAGGCCTCACAGGGCTTTATGTAATTAAAAAAAAAAAAAAAAGAAAAGAAAAATCAACCCTCAACATTCCCCTGAGGGAGGAGACCTGGCCAAGGGTTTGATTACAGATCTCTGCTCCAGCAATCTGCTGGAGCAATGTTCTCCGGCCTGAGTCGTAGGAATGAGGAGGAAGTGAGGATTGGCTCTGTTCATCTCCATCTGTTCCACTATTTGCAGACTTCGGTATAAAATATGGCTTCTGTGTTTTGGGATTATAACAACATCTTCTTGCCAGAAAAAAAAGTAATAATAATAAGTTTGTTTCTGAAAGATTCTTCGAAAGTGACCCTGCACATCTGCTGCCCCATATGTGGGAAGGTCCTTGCCTGGTGTGAATCATTTTGAAGTTCCTAAATTCCCAGGCCCAGAGGAACAGCTGCACAGGCAGAATTTCTGGAAAGCCCTTGTCCCAACACTCTTAAAAGCCTGGAGCTTTCCAAGTCTCTGCCCTGCCTATTCCCTTCCCAAGCAGCAGGGGAGAGTTGGGGGATCATGTTTGCCCTTGCCAAGTAGGACAGCTTTCCAGGATTCTGGGCCACTGGGAAGGACGTGTGGGGGGTTGGAAAGAATGCCATCAGGTCACTGGGCCCAGAAAGTGAGGCAAAAAAGTGGTTCTCAACTGCGGCAAAGTGCAGACCTTCAGACCACTGATTGAGTTCATGTTCAGCAGCCTCATAGCTCTTGCTGAGAACTTTGAAATGGATGGGCTCCAAGGAACAACCTGGGTGGTGACAGAGCTGCTTATGGTTCTAAGTTCTAAGCTCTGGGAAAGCAGAGGCAAGTGAGCCCATGAGCTCTCAGCTGCTGAGGCAAAGTGTTCACTGGCTCTGGCGTGCTCAGGGAAAAGCGCAAAGGGTAATGTTGAACAAGCTGAAGAGAAAGCAGAAGTTGCCCATTTGTTACTTTCTGCGACAGCCCATCCAGGTAACCATGAGGTCCAAGCCAGGGTGTGGGCAGCGCGGATGTGTGAGCACGCATCTGTGTGTGTACGCGCGCGCATGCGTATGCTCAGCTGTGCACAATATCAGCCAAACCCCCCAAACTTGCTTGACAAACCCAGACCGAGGCTGGGCCTGCCCACCTAAGCTGGGCAGTTCGCTCAATGGCCACATAACAAAAGAGAGGCGGGGGGTGGGAGGGTGTCAACAGCCTCTGGCCTCTACTGGCTGTCCTCTGTGGCTCTAAGGTAGATATTGCTGACCCACCTAGTGGACAGCACCAAGGGGAAATGCCCCACAGCAGCTCGGACAGAGCCCCCAGCCCCTCGCCAGCTCAGGGGGCGTGGCTTCGCCACTCCAGTGCTACAACAAGCGAAGCAACCTCTAACCTCCACCGCCCACTGTGCCTTCCCTTAGCATCCGCACCACCCTGGCTGGTGAAGTGCGTCCCAGCTTCCCCCGCTCCCAGCGGTCTATCTATCCCTCGCCAACCACCCCACACCGACCTCAGGCAGCGGGTAAAAGAGAACAAGATTTTCCAACTCTCACCTGGTGGTGCCACATTCTGCTCTCTCCCCTGGGGAGAAAAAGTACATGGTGATGTTTAATTGGCTTTTTTTTATCAGAACATTCGTTTTTTTCCCCCTAAAAGCAAAAAAGATTCCTTGTGCCCATTTATAGTCACTGTTCCCACCACCTGCCCCAGACAACCACCAACCTACTCTCAACCTCTGTAGGTTTGCCTGGACGTTGACAGAATCGTCCAACATGTGACCTTCTGCACTGGTGTCTTTCATTTAGCATAATGTTTTTGAGGTTCATCCACATAGCATGATTAAGTAATTCATTCCTTTTTTTTTTTTTTTTGGTTGAGTAATATTTTTTTGTATAGACAGACCAAATTTTCCTTATCCATTCACTTACCAGTAGTTATCCTCTCAGTATCTCTCACCTTAAATGTTCCCCCAAAACACATCCTGTTTTCCATGCCCCAAACCTAGTCCTACCCAAGTCTTCAAAATCTCGATAAATGGGACACCCACCCACTTGTTTAAGCCAGAAGCGTAAGAATCATCTTTGAAAACTATTTCCTCCTTAAATCTGCCCACTTCCCTCCATCTTGGACCAGTTCCGTGTGTGTGTGTGTGTGTGTGTGTGTGTGTGTGTGTGTTTTGCTGGGGACTGAACCCAGGGCCTTGTGCATGCTAGGCATGCACTCTACCAACTGAGCCACATTCCCAGGTCCCCATGTTCCTTTTACTCAGTTTTTCTATCCAGTACAATCCATCCTGGACTCATGAAGATGATGGGTAATAAATCTCTTTAAACTGCAAATAATATCATGTCATTTTCTTGCTTACAACCTTCCAATAACCTCCCACTGCACATAGAATAAAATCTAAGCCTCTTACTGTTTTTTAAAGGCTTTTGAGATCTGAGTTGATCCTGTGAGCTACTACTCCAACTATCTGGACCTACTTTTTCTTTTGAGCATGATGTTCCTGACACAATTTCTTTCTGCACAGTCCTCAAACAGGCCTTTGCATTTGCTTCCTGGAATCTTCTTCCCCGTATACTTGCTTGGCTGGCTTTTGCTTGCCTTCTGGGTCTCCACTGAAAAGTTGGGTCCAGACAAAAGCTTCTTCTACCTAAAGCAGACATTTATCTCCTTATGTCACCTTTATCTATTTCACTTCTCTCTTTATAGGGCTTAACATCAATATTTTTCTTGCTTCTTATTTACTTGTCTATTCCCAGTCTATCTCCACTAAACATCACTACATTCTATAGAAAAGGAATCTCATCTGTTCTTAAAATTTCCATAACACCACAGTCTTGGACACAAATCATGCGTTTTGCACAAATCATGTGCTCAATAAATATTTGTTGAATGAGTAAATGAATAAACAGATCCTTTACCTTCAACAAGCTCAGTGCTTAATGATTATAACAGTCCAAAAGTAGAGTATGCAATAGTGTGATATGCAGCAGTGCCACAGTACAATTGCACACAGGGTATCAACCCTGTAACACCAGACAAGCAAAATGATTTGAACAGATGAAGTGACTGTCCCAAGTCCCTGCTTAAGTATACAGTTTGGACTCCAATCCAGGCTGTCTGGCTTCATATCTGAGCTTTTCCTGGGGAACTTGGTCCACCTTCCCACACATGGGATTAGGGAAGATTAGATGCCCCAGTAGAATTTGCCTCAAACTCAGTGTATCCTTAAAGGTGATGCTTGGCTTTTAATAGCATCCCTCTGACCCAACTCTCTTTCCACAATTATTGTATGTGATTGACACTTCTCAGCCTTCAGTCTCAACTTACACATCACTTCCTGAAGGAGGTGATTTCCCCCTCCCTGCCCGCCATATACAGTTTTCTAGCTCAGCCCAAATCTGTCATTCATGGGGCTTATCGTAATTTTTACTCTTTACTCAGTATAGTGATGAGCTGCATAGTGATATTTTGATCAATGACATTATGAGAGTGGTCCCATAAGATTATAATGCGCCAAAAAATGCCCATTGCCTAGTGACATCATAACCACCATAATGTCCTTGTCATGTAATGCATTTCTCATGTTTTTTAAAATATTTTTTAGTTGTCAGTGGACCTTTATTTTATTTATATGTGGTGCTAAGAATTGAACCCAGTGCCTCACACGTGCTAGGCAAGCACTCTACTACTGAGCCACAACCCCAGCCCTCATTTCCCATGTTTGTGGTGATGCTGGTGTGAATCTACTACACTGCCAATCATGTAAAAGTGGAGCACATACAATTATGTACAGTGCATAATTATTGGTAATTATAATAAACAACTATTTTACTCATTTATGTATTTACTATAGGATAATTTTTGTTCGTTTGTTTTTTGGCATCAGGGATCGAACCCAGAAGCGCTTAACCACTGAGCCACATCCCCAGCCCTTTTTTAAAATTTTGTTTTTTATTTTGAGATAGGGTCTTGCTAAGTTGCTTAGGGCATTGTTAAGTTGCTGGGGCTGGTTTTGATCCTCCTGTCTCAGCCTCCCAAGCTGCTGGGATTACAGGCACATGCCACTACGCATGGCTTAGTGTACTTTTTATAATTATTTTAGAATGTACTCCTACCGGACAACAGTTGACTATAAAAGAGTGTGCTGCATTACTCAGGCAGCAGCCTCATATATCTTGTGTTCAGTGTCTTAATCACATCATTTTCTCTTTTGCTTGATTTAATCTCATGCTACCTTGTTCATCATGGCCCTAGGAGCCGCAGGCTATCATATATGTATATTCTATGTATGGTCTAGCCTCCTACTCTGAGAATGTCAAATTTGTGTACGAGTACTCCATGACTTCTGCACATGGTGAAATCGCCTAATGGTGTGTTTCTCAGAAGCTATCTCCATCATTAAGCTATGCATGACTGCTGTTTGTTGACTGAAGTCTCTTTCCCCTGAGATGTTATCTGTCTTGTGTACCACGGTATCCCCTGGCCATGCACAGTGATGCTTTTAGATAGATGAGCAGACAGATGGAGTGGGGAGGGAAGAAGGGAAGGGGTAGGAATCAAAGAGTTTAGGACATGGAAGTAGAACATCAGAACACACTTAAGGCAGACTTTCCTCTAACAAGGAATTGAACATATCTAACATATGATCCTTTTTGTTTTTGTTTTGGTTTTGGTATTGGATATTGAACCTAGGGATGCTCTATCTCTGAGCTACATTCCCAGTCCTTGTTATTTTTTATTTTGAGCTAGTGTCTTGCTAAGTTGCTTAGGACCTCACTAAGTTGCTGAGGCTGACCTTGAACTTGCAATCTTCCTGCCTTAATATTCCACATTGCTGGGATTGTAGGTATGTGCCACTGTGCCCAGCAGGATCCTTCAGCTTTATAGTCTCTTTCTAGCTCTTAAGAATGCCATTATCAATATCTTTAGGAATAGTATTTCAATTTCTAACAAATGTCAGAAATCAAAAAATGCTCTGTTCTTAACCTCCTGAGACGTGCTGAGATTTAAAAGACACATATTTTATAGTTGGTACCTCAGCCATTTTCTAGAAGGTCAGACTGTCTAGTCCTGGTGGCCATTTTGCTCTATGATGGGCTATTAAGTTTGAGCCTGAAAGATTTATCCCATCCCTGTTATAGACAATGCATTTATTAATTCTTGAGGGATCTTAGTAACCTGAAAAACCACCTCATCAGGGTATAAGCCCTGGAGCTTACAGAATACCCAAACCTCAGAGCAATAAAAAGGTCCTAGATCTAAGACTCATGATAAACTGAGAGTTCTCTAGTCAATAAAATGACATAGCAACAGCCAAGGGCAGAAGAGAATATATGCTCTTGTTCCCAACGTGACAGCAGCAGCATTTGTAACAGGGAACCTAGCTGCTTTAAAACTTGTGTGCCTGGGGTCAATCACATTAAGAAATTCACTTCTACATAAAGGTGACCAAAAAGACCTTGTACTTCCTGTAACTTTTCTTTGAACCTGCTGCCAAAAGGGCACTTTAGAGATAAACTGAAGCATCAGACATGAAACTTCTTTAAAAAAACAAACAAAACACCTTATCTTTTAGCCAAATATTCCTTTGGCCTTATATTTCTTGTTTGGCTTTTAAATTTCTAAATCATCCCTCCCAATTCAAAATGGCTGTCAGAGAACATATAAGAGCCATTGATCCGGGTACAACCATACCCTGGCCCAACTCTTAGAAAAGATTCCATGGAATAGAGAAGTCAAAACTTATCAGTAGAAGGGCTGGGATTGTGGCTCTCTGGTAGAGCACTTGTCTAACATGTGTGAGGCACCAGGTTTGATTCTCAGCACTGCATATAAATAAATAAAATAAAGGTCCATTGACAACTAAAAAATATTTTTAAAAATGCTCAGTAGAGGCGATTCATTGATCAACACTCAGAAGAATGAATTTGATAAGATTCTGAGCTCTCTTGGCTGCTCAATTTTTCCATGTACCCCTTTATCCACTGGGTAAGAATATTCTCACTCTGAATCAAATTCTTCTGGTTGCAAATTCTCCCTTTTCACTCAATATCCTAAGAATCCATAGTATACTTCACTGTGTAGTAGATATTAAAAAATGAATGAAGATTTGGTCTCAATTTATTCAGCTTCAGTTTTTTTTCTGTCAGTCAGTAGTTTACTAACTTTAGTTCATAATAGTATATCAGTATTCATTGATTGTGATACATATACCATATTAATGTAAGATGTTACTATAGGGGAAACTGGGTATGAATATGTGGGAACTCTTGTACTATCTTTCTAAATTTTCTGCAAATCTAAAACTATTGTAAAATTAAAAGTTCATTCAAAAAACTTTTCTAGAATTGGCCAGTGTACCAAGACCTATTGTCAAAGGAAGCAAGCTAGGCTATTCCATGGATGGTTCACTAGAAGAGACTCTGGATGGTTCTTTCTTAGCAGCCCTGTACGTCTAAAGCTACATGTTCTTACAGCTTTTGTTGCTAGCAGCTCAAAACTTGGAAGAGAGCCATATCTCAGGGCAAGGTGAGTTTGGAGGCTAAATAAACTTGGAAAACCAAATGGACCAGGAGTTATACCAACCATAATAATTATCATTATCTCATTAGGGCCAGTCAGGCAAGGACAGCAATAAAAGTTTCCATCTGACAATGCACAGGGAAGAGCCAGAGAGAAGTTTTCTCTTCCCAGTCTAAGGACTCATAGGATCTTATTTTTTAAAAGAACATCTACTTTTTCTAAACCCAGGGAATCTTATTCTGAAAATACAAGTAGCCACAAACTCATATGAGCCTGCCTTTCATACAGGGCTCATGAGAATGGCCCCCAGAGCCAGGCCCATAAAAACTAATCCTCCTGTCCATTCCTCCTTCTTGGAAGCTACCCTGTTACCCGCTTCCCCTGAGCTTCTCTTGGACTTTCTGTCTCTTCCCTTACACCTTCATTCTTGCTGTTTTTCTACCCTCTTTGTTACCTACACCCTCCTCAGCCTTTCTACTCCCTAGTCAATACCGAAATGTCAGAATGGGTAGAATTTAAGGCGGGGAGAGGTGCGGATAAAGAGAAAGTTCATTGAAATTAACTCCTCTCCCCCTTTACTCGCCAATCATGAGTTTTGACAAATGTATGCCCCCTGTGTATAATCACTACTCAAATCAGGTTATAAAACTTTTCTCTTACCCCCCAAACCTCCCAGTTCTGACCAGCTAGAACACACAAAACTGAGCTATGGTGTCAGCAATCAGATTAGTGGTTGCTTGGGGTAGAGTGGGAGGACTGGCTGGAAAGGGGCAGAAGGGGATTTTTAATGGTGATGGAAACGTTTTCTATTCTGGCTTGGGTGGTGGCTGCACATGCAGATGCAAAGGCCCTGGGACAGGAATCAGCTTGGTGGATTTTGAAAGGCAAAGACTTGCCCTGCCTGGATGGAACACAGAAAGGAGAGAGTGACGGATGAGGTCAGGAAATCAAGCAGAAGCCAAGTGACGGAGAGGCTTATGTGCCATGAGAGCAGCTGGGGTTTTATTTCAACTGTCACTAGAAGATTTGGGTGGTTCTAAGCCTAGTCTCCAGGTCCTCCAAGGACTAAACCATGTCTCATATGTCTGGAATTTCCTTCTCTGGACCTAGAACCCTCGCCGGGCACTCTATCCATATTTCTGGCATCTGCTGAAAGTCATCAATGCTGACCCCTAGGTCCCTGGATTCCCACCCACTACCTAATGAGTACTAGACCATGACCTTCCCCCATATCCTAAACTAAGACCCATGATTACCCTCTATTTTCTGCAGCCAGACTGGACCCAATTTCCCCAGTTGCCCAGTCCTGGCAGGTGGGTCCAGTACCAGGCCCTATTCTGCCAAGGGTTCAGAGTCTCAAGCCTAAACAGCTCAGAAGCCCCAGGGAACACAACAGGACCTAGTGGGGAAAACAGCCCCTCCTGGGGCCTCCACCACCCAACTCACCTTCTCCAAGTGTCTGCTTGAGTAAGTCGTGCTTGGCCTGTAGCTTGGTGATGAGGTTACTGCCATTCACATATTCTTTAAATTTCTGTAAGACACAGGGTAAAAGGAAATTAGAGGACAAGTGATGGGATCTCTGCCTCTGGAATGGACCTCTGGGTAGGGAGATTAGGTCATCCTTGAACACCCCAGACTTTTGCATCTGCTCCTAGCTCTCCAAGTGGCTGCCCAGTCCCTGGGGGACGCTAGGCTTTAAGGTAGGGTCTGGGAGCACAAAGGAAGCCCCAGGAGGATAGGAACAGTGAAATCTGCTTTCTTAGGTAGGGCTGTGAGTAGCACAAAGCAAAGGTCTTCTTTGGTTATCAAAGATCTACTGTGTTTCTGGGCCAAGAACAATCAAGATGGGAACCATCCCAATGGCCAGGCAGCTACAGCTAGAGAGCTGGCAAAGAGGAGCCAGGGGGCAAGTCTTTCCTTCAAATGGTCACATTCTAAAAGAGGAAGGGTTTTGCAGGCCCTGGAGAGACTTTCCCATTAAGAGAGCCCAAAGTACATTAGGCAATATGATTTTCTTCTTCCTGTGAATGAGGCAAGGAGACAGGTACGGGAAAGTAACTTGCCCAAGGTGCTACAGAAAGGCAATAGTGACTAGGACTAGTCCCAGGCTGCCTTCTAGGTTATGCTCAGTGCTGTCTGGGGCAGTACTGAGGGACAGAGAACCTTCCAGAACAGAAACATAGCCATCTGCCCATACTTGGCCTGGGCCTCAGCCTCACCTCCACACAGGTAGCAACTTTCTTGCTCCCTCCATGCCTATACCATGTGAACACAGGCACAGAGCCCTGTTGGGGCCTGCCTTTGCTGCACTGTGAGCAACCAGAGGCAGGAGTTTAGTTAAATCTCTGCCTCCTAGGCCATACCAACCAAGGTGGGCAGAGACACAGTAAATGAACCAAAAATAAGTAAAATGCCAACCTGTAGTGAAAGCTATGGATAAAAATGAAGCAGAAAGAGCAGGCTGGGAATCCAAGTAGGGGATGTCACTGCTAAGGGGACATTTGGGCCAATGCCTGAAGGAGGCAGAAAAGGGACATGTGGGGACCTGAGGGATAGAGACTGGCAAGCAGAGGGCATGGCAACTGCAGAAGCTCTGAGATGAGGTCCAGGAACAGATGTGACTGCCCCAAACCTACCAGCTGGTTTACCACAAGGAGGTCCACTCCTGACCCAGCTAGCACACGTCAGTGTGGCAGAAAAAAGAAAGCCTTGAAAGTTAAGGACAGTCGCAATTTTTCCTGGAGAAGAGGGTCCCTAGTGTCACCTTTTCCCCCTTGAGGACAGTTATCTTGGGAAGGGTTCCCAGGGAAGAGGGCTGACACTGACACAAATAAAACTGGGGTGGCCTCACCCTGGCCCATGCCAGTAGTTTCTGGAATTACTGTGAGGTGGGACTTTACAGCATCCTCTCCCCTTTCTCATGGCCCTTATCTCTGAGGACCTGGGTCTTGGTCCTAAGAGTCACTCTTCTTTGTATTTGCAGAGCATGCAGCAGGTTTTACACACATGCAGCAGAGACTGCCAACATTCTTGGACAGCAAATGGCAAATGCATCATCATGTCCTTTCCACCCAGAAGGAAACAGAAGCCCAGAGCTGCGCTCTCTCATTGAGTGACCTTGAGCAGAACACTGATCGTTTCTGGGCTTTCCTGTTCTCCTCTGTGTAAGGTGAGATGGACTCAGTGTTGATCCAGGTGTGGGCAAGAGGACAGGTGGCTTTGTAGCCAGTTGGAGAGACTGTCAACCCAGATTTCAGTTCTATAACACCTCGAGTCTTGCTTTTCACCTCAGGGACACAGGGAGGCACAGAAACATTAAATATTCCAGGACCCCATCATGAGGAGGATGAGGGTCTGAGAGCCTGCATTTTAAACAAACATTTCCTGCTACCCAGAGGCTCTTGACCAATGCTTCCAGTTAACAACATCCTCTTTTATCACAAGTCTAAGAATTCATAAAAAGCAGAGCTAAGGTGTAAGCAAGTATTCTGTCCACCAGGCTTCATGGCCTCTGGCAGGAGAAGCTCTGATCTTGTAACTCAGGCTCCTATTATCTTCTGGCCAGTGTCAATTACCCCTAAGGCTCTGTGACCTGTGGGTATGAACTTCACCCAGGTGACTGATGAAAGATAAAAGGCCATTATATTGTATTGATATTTGCATTAAAAGCAACATTGCAAAGGTCTAAAATAATGTTAAAAATAGGAACAAGGGTTATGAGAGAATGGACCAGCCATCCAGGTGAATGAATTGATTATTAAGAAAAGTAGACAGCATATTCTGACACTTAGTAAAAGACATTACAGAATTCTTTCAACTTCAAGCAGTCTGGACCCCCTTCTCTGCTTCTGCCGGGTAGATTTATTTGCTTCTACTGTCAAAGTGAGTTATTATTCATACATGTCACACTCCTCACTCATCTTTCTAGCCCATAATTGTCTTTGTGAATACAGTGGGAATGCGACTGCCAGGAATTGGGTTGGGGTGATTCACAAAGATCAGCTTTGTTTTCTTTCTTGATAAGGTCAGAGAATGTTGATGGAAGAAATGTGGTATGTGCAACTACTGGTTTTCAACAAAGAATTTGATAAGGCCAAGATGAAGTCAGATGCGAGAACTGGGTGGGTTTGTGATGGGCTAAGTAAGCACAATCCAATCAGTATCAACCTCCCTGCATAGTTCGTCTGTCTTAGGCATTGGCCCTGGCACACCCGTTTCGTTATTTTTATTGATGAACCTTAAGGTATGGAGGCCATGTTCACACATGACAAGACAGTGTGTATGTTGAACTCCTACATAAGGATGTTGACAATCTGGAACCATGAAATTAATTCATCAAGAGGACACCTAAGTGGTGACCAACATGAGAACTACCCAAGACATCTACAGAGCCTTCAAAAGGAGGAAGGCCTGGCTCATGGCCACACACACAATGAATATGATCCTAGGACATGAGAATGGGAGTATAGCTCCTTGTATGGAGAAAGTAAAAATGTACTCTATTCTGTGCTGGTTAGACCAAGGCTGTCTCGCTGCAGAAGAGGCGCTGACAAAGAGAAGGAGTTCAGGAAGTCACTGGGATACTCAGCCTGCTCAAAACAAAAGCTTTTAAGACAGAACTGAAAGAAATAGTTAATGTGGCCTGCAGAAATGAAAACTTAGCTTCCTGCAGTCATGGAAAGACTGAAGAATTAGCCTCCCTCTGGGTCCCGCCAGAGAACAGAATCTAGATCAACAGCCAGAAACCCTAGTGTGTATATTTTAGAAAGTAACAGAGATAAAAGAAAACATATACCCAAAGCCAGCTAGCCAGAACCCAAACAGAAGGGCTGTTTGTGGAAGGAGGGAACTTTTTATCCTAGGGGCATTCAAGCAGAGTTTGATGATCTTCTGGCCTGGAAATGGCTCAAATGGAAGATAGTTCCCTTACAATTCCAATATTCCATACTCAATAAACCCAAATTCAACTATAAGCCCCTTTTTCCCTTTGCCTTGCTCTTACCTGCCCCCAGCCAAAATTGAAGGTAAGGATTTCATGTGGGAGACTAGCAACTCCATGAGAAATATGCTTGGATTGCTGAGGACATTATTTCTAAAACTTACACCCAAATTTAAGACAATTCAACACAATAAAACATTTGCATAATTTTAGGGTAGTTGTTTAGAACTTATGCTTGACTCCTTTATTCATTTTTTTTTCTAACCTAGCTGAACAGAACTTTCTCTTTGATCTTTTTTTCTAAAGCAGAAAAGTTTCAATGACCATCACCCAAGATCAATGTCAATATTACCCACTGATAATTCACTTTCTGCATTACAGTAAATTCAGCCAGGCAACTTAATGTTAAAGTATGTTGGAAGATTCTTAGGTCTGATTGACCAGGGTGGTTTTGCTGGCCCTTACTCCATCAGGCCATTCCCAAACATCTCAGACAGGGACAGCAGACATGGGTTCTGGGTCCAGGATGCCACCTACTGTAAAATAAAACATCTCTGTCTCCTGCTGGTTGGCCCTCCTCTTGGCAATGTTGATCTTGCTCATGTAGGTCTCTGACGCGGCCGACTTCACTGACTCTGTGGATCGGCTGTGTTGGAAGGCGTCAGAGACATCAAAGTCCTCCACCGTCAGCATGTCCTGTAAAGTCTGCATGGTGGCATCCAAGGTTTTTCTAACCTGGGGAAAAAGCATATCCACAAAAGACCTTTATTCTTTCTCACAATTTAAAGTGTTTTCTCAAATTTATTCATATAAAGCCTCTAGGAGACTCGATGGACCAAGGTGCACTGAGGTGCTAAGCAAGGGAAACGAGTCATTGGTTCAAGACTGCACAGCTGGCTGGGGGAATAAGCCAGGGTGCCCCATCTAAAGTCATTTCATGGTATGGCTTCTGCCAGGGAACCTGGGGGGATGCTATGATGCACAAGGGACACAGATTTCCAGGTGTGTTCCTCTTTGCCTGGTTATGCTGTCCCCAACCAGCTTCTGCAGTGGAAGGTGATCAGTCAAATAGGAACAGCACTGAAGGTGCTCCTTCTCTTTGCTCAGAGGAGGGATGGGATGAAATCTGGAAAATGGTGGGTAGCTATGCTCCAGCCATCTGCTAGCTGATCCCTACCAAAGGTGAAATTGAGGGAAGGGAGACCCCGAGACAACAACAGTGGCTGAGGCTCTGACTGTAAGTTAGGACTTCATCTCTCTCCCAAGTTGAGTGAAACCACAAAGGGTACAAAATACGGGCATAAGAACCCCAACCTCACAGCACCCTTTTGCTGCATGGTGTCTAAATGGCACACGCTATGCTTTGATGGGAGGTCACTCCAAAAATAGTCATGGGAAAAACTGCATCAACATTTGTTGTAAAATTATCACCACTCAAGCTCTCTTGTCACGCAGGCTCAGCTGAAATGTCACCTTCTAATGACATCAGGCCCTATGAGTGTCTTAACCTAGTGCCTATGCCATCTGGTATTTTTCCAAACTCATTCATTTATTAATCTGTTTTGTGTTTTAATTTTTATCTGTGACCCTCACTAGAAAATTCTATGAGAGGAGGTACTATGTTATATTTGTCCAGAACAATGTTTAGCAAATAATATGTGCTCGGTAAGTATTTCAATGCTTGTTGAATGAATAAATGAATGAATAAACAAAGTCTTACTTTGACCACAGAATGACAGGAAGGTCAGGTTTAAATTCAAGGATGGTCATGCCCATTTACAGTCCACAGAGAGGAATATTTGCTTCAATCTCTTCTCTGTGACTCTGATTTCCAATTTAAATTCCATTAACATTGTTATCCACATAATGCTCCACATAAACAACTTAAAATCCTTTGGGGAAAGATGGAGGGCATAAACAAAGAAAGAAAATACTCTGCTCATCTCCTGTCTCTTGCTAGGCTTAAAAACCCAATGCACAGTTTGTCTCCATATAACCTCCCTCCCCCAGGACCGCTTTGATTCGTCATCGTCCTGAGCTACAATCTGTCTCACATTTGTCCTCACTCTGTCCTTTGTGGAGATGTAAGGCAAAACTGTCCTCTCTGCCCAGGATAATCCCCCTGAGATCTGAGACAGATACTGTCTTCTCACCTCCCAAAATGACTTCACTTCTCAAGGATAAACCTGCCCACAACCTTGGGTGACAATTCCTATAATCTGTCCTTTCTCCGGGGGGCCTCTGGTTGGCTGATGTCCTGCTTAGAAGGAGGTGTCCATGTTAGGACAGGGTGTTTCCAGTTTGGCCTCTTCAGTCCACATCAAGGTGAACGCAGCTCAGCTAGGATTTCCACCTGCACCCACCCAGTAGTGAAGCCATGCCACCAGGCTTTGTGGGTCGTGTGCCAGGTGGGGTAAGGCTGGCTCTAAAGCCATGCTGCAGCTTGAGTGCCCTGGGTTGTTTATTTCATTGTGTAATTTCAAATACCTACTATGATTTCTGATGTCAAAAATAGGAACTCATTGCAGAAAATAGATAAAAGCAGAAAGAAGTCAACAGAAACCACCCCAAATCCAACAATGGAGACACAACCACTGTTACATTTGGAATGTTTCCCTCTGGTCTCTTTTCTACACCAGTGAACACACAGCTCTTTACCTACAGACTGCAGCTTACCCTACAAGTGAGCACCCTGAACAGAGTCCTCCTTCCTCTGCTTCTCTTTCACTTAACACCTCTGAGCCCTATGAGTGTCTTAACCTAGTGCCTATGCTATCTGGTATTTTGCCAAACTCATTCATTTATTAATCTGTTTTGTGATTACAGATTCCCAGGCCATTACAGATTCTTGGAGTATATGGTTTCAAGGTTGTATGATTCTCCATCTTATAGAAAAGACATCATTTGGGATGCGTTCCATGGCAAGAGTGGACTCCCCAGGACAGCAGCCTTTGTGAGGAAATCCCTCCCAGGCAGGGGCTCACTCACCTCCTCATTTTCAATCTTGAGAGTGGCCAGTCTGGACTGCAGCTGGTGGTACCGCATGAGCAGCTCCGTCTGCACAGGCTGCTGTGCGCTGACCTGGCACACCTGCAGAAAGGACAGCCATCACTGTGCTTGCGTACTGCCCTCCTCACCTGCATGGAGCTAGGGCAAGGGCTACATGGACATCCAGATCCACAGCCTATGAGACAGGCTCAGCAAGGTCAAGCAACCTCCCCAAGGTCACCTAGCTCACGTAGCAATGGCAACTCCAGATGGGAAAAGTCTACCCTCCTGCCATTGCCAGGATTGTGGCCCTCAGCCACAATCTTCTACATTTGTGCAATGCTTGTGGGTTTCCAAAGAGCTTTAACATAATCTTGTTAAGTGAAACTAATTCATTAATTTCAAAGCAGGAAGTTGTGGCTAGAAAAAAGCCACCTTGTAAGAGAAGCCAATGGAAAGAAGGATGAATCAGTAGGTAGAGTGCTCGAAATGCCCACAGGAAATGACAACTGTGGCCAGAGCACTCCAGGGATCTTCTTCCTCAGCCAGTCAAGTGGGGTGGAGGGGCAGAACTGACAGAGATGCAGTTGGTCTCCTCCGTATCCACAGGGTTGACATCCACAGATTCAACCAACTAAGAACAGAGAATATACATGGGGGAAAAATGGCCTCTGTACTGACATTTCTTTCTTATCATTGTTTCCTAAACAATGCAGCGTAAAAACTATTGACATAGCACTTACATTGTACTGGGTGTTATAAGTCATCCAGAGATGACTTGAGTAGACAGGAGGATGCATAGTTTCTGTGCAAATACTAGGCCATTTTATACCATTTTATACAGGGACATGAGCATCCTCACATTTTGGTTTCCACAGGGGGTCCTAGAACCAGTCCCCCTATGAATATTGTAAGACAACTCCATCATTCTCCATGTACCTTCCCATCTGGGGCTCTATTACTACCTGTGGGCTGGGCTACCTAGTTTGCTTTAGTATCTCACCCCTTCTAGGATGCAACTAAGATCATAAGGGATTGTTGACAAGGTCTGTTAACAAAGTTAGTTATTTATTAGTAACTATGCAACCTGAACTTCACAGTGCTAGCAATGAGACCAGGATTTTCAGGTCAAGGTGAGGGGCCAGACATGAGGGCAGACAGGTGCATCAGGAACAGCAAGAGCACACAAAGGGCCTCTACTTTGCAAATGAAGGGAGTGGGCGGAGCCTTCTACAGGGCACAGTAAATGCCATTTTCCATCTGCCTCCTTGTCCCTCCCTAGGTGCTCTCAGATGGCTCAGCTGAGCTCCCACCTGAATTCAGAGACTGGCTGATTCTGATACCACATTGGTCTGGGTCTCCACCCCAATTCCAATTCCAAAAGGAGGGAATGACACAGAAAAACTCAGGGAGCCATTTGCATCAAGGATTTGTGTAACCTGGGTCCTAGAAATGTTGCATTGGGGACAGTGACAAGTTCCTTTACTCTCCTTCTTTTTTTCTTTTCTTTATTTCAGACTGTAGCAAGAATCTGAAGGCCGGGTGCAATGGTGCACGCCTATAATCCCAGAAGCTCAGGAGGCTGAGGCAGGAAGATGGTGAATTCAAAGCCAGCCTCAACAACTTAGCAAGACCCTGTCTCTAAATAAAATACAAAAATGGGCTGGTGTTGAGGCTCAGTGGCTAAATGCCCCTTACTTGAAGCCCCAAAACCAATTTAAAAAAAAAAAGAATCTGAATAGCATAAGCACTGAAGAGAACTCAGCTATCTAGTGTACCAGGGTTCACAAGATCAGTAGGGCAGAACCTGGCCAAGGCGGCTATAGGAGGCTGTGATGAGGTCAGCAGTACATGATCCAAGGGCTTTGGAGGGAGGAACAAGAAGACCGTTTCTATACACACCAGGAATCCCAGGGGTCTTCTAGATATACCTGGGAGGAATTCTGAGGTAAGCTAAGTCCTGTAATTCTGCAGGTAGGGACTTGAGCCAGCTAGATGAAGGTTATCAGTGATAAATTCCTCTTCTAGAAAAGCTCATGACCAAGAACTTGACTCCAGGCTCTGAGATACACATTGTGCATACACAACCAGGGCTTTTCTCCTCCTGCCAAGATTCCAGAAGGATGGGAGAGAATAGAAGCAGCCTATGGTTCCAGTGAGTCCCCCCAAAATTCATGTGTTGGGAACTTAACCCTCAAAAATCATATCTTTATAGGGCTGGGGTTTTGGCTCAAGCTGTAGCGCTCTCGCCTGGCATGCGTGCGGCCCGGGTTCGATCCTCAGCACCACATACAAACAAAGATATTGTGTCCGCTGAAAACTAAAAAATAAATATTAAAATTCTCTCTCTCTCACTCTCTCTAAAAAAAAAATCATATCTTTATAGTATTTGTTAATGGGGCCTTTGAGAGGTAACGAGGGTTAGATGAGGTCATGAAGGTGGGGAACCCAGGATGGCATTAGTGGTTTTTTTAAAAAGAGGAGGAGATGGACATGGGCTAGTGCATTTGCTCTGTCTCACCACATGGTGTCCTGGGCCATGTTATTATGCAGCAAGAAGGGCCTCACCAGATGCTGAGCAGATGCCATTCGCCACATTCTTGGACTTCCCAGCCTCCAGAACCAGGAGCTAAATAAATCTTTGTTCTTTCTAAATTTCATGGTCTCATGTATTTTGCAACAGAAAACGCTGAGACAGCCTCAAGCCTGGCCTCCAGGGGAAACCTACCTCATCCCCCATGTGGGGCTGGAACTCGAACTTGAGCGGAGGGCAGAAGACCTGGTTGCACATGTCCATGACGGTGTGCTTGTCGCTCCGGGAGTCCAGACTGTCCACGGCATTCTCGATCACATCCAGCCCTTCATGGCGTGAGGTCTCCAAGTTGTACTCAGCTGAGAGGTATGTCCGGAAGGTGCGGGCCAGGCTGGCATGAAAGCCCAAATCACAGCACTTGGGAAGAGGCAAGGACAGAGGGTGCAGATGACAGCTGGGACGGTGACTTACAATCACCTCCCATTCCACAGCACTTTGAACACAAACCACTCCAAAGCTCGCAGAGGATGTTGGGGGTTGAGATTTGCACCATAGCAGCGCTTCTCTCAGCTCCCCAAATTCACCACATTCCTTCTCATCTCTAGATTTTCGTGCATGTGTCTCCTCTGCATGAAATACTCTTCCCTCCAGATTCAGCTTCCTCCAGAAAGCCTTCCTGATGCCCTCCACACTTAGGAGTTTGTGTCAGTGTCCCCACTGCAGGGACCCAGGTTTCCCTGCATCTCTTACTGTGACCCCTGCAACTACTTATTAATGTGTCCTGTGTAGGAAGACCCGCTGGCTTTGGCCTACTGCAGCACCTCACATCCTAGACCACAGGAGGTGCTGAATAAATATTTGGTAAATGAATGAATGAAAAAGGCGAAAGATGGGGCTGGGGTTGTGGCTCAGTGGTAGTGTGCTTGCCTGGCATGTGTGAGGCATTGGGTTCGATTCTCAGCACCACATACAAATAAATAAAGTTCCATCAACAACTAAAAAATATTAAAAAAAAAAAAAGGCGAAAGAGCCAAAAGGAAAATTGAAAGGCAGAAAAGAGGGAAGGTCTGGTCTTAAGCCATTTAGAAAGCTGAGTGTCCCCCTTCCCTTAGGATGGTGATAATGGGTCCCCTCTGCAGCCAAGGGAAAAGCAAAGACCCACTGACTTCCTCACAGGACACACCAAGGCCACAGGAAAAGGATTCTGTGATCAGTACTGAGCCTTTACTGGGCATCTCCAGAGCCCAGCTGTACAGGAAGGTGGAGAGGAAAGGAACAGTCTGGGCTCCAACACAGATGGCCCAGAAGCCCTCCTGATGCTGCTGCTCACAGTGTCCTTCCTCAAGCCTGTGGTCCTTCAACTGGCATTGCAGATCTGTGTGCCCTCTGCATCTGCTTAGGCTGCCTGATGTCTCCCACAACAACATCACCAGGAGCTAATCTACGCCACTGTCTGATTCACTATCTCCTTCCACATGTGCCTGGTTGATTGGACTTAGGGGCACTGAATATATTAACATCTTCTTTACTACACTGAGATTCCCAAGGGCACCAACTGTGAATGTCTACCCCCTAACCCCACACCCAGCAAAGGACCTGGGCATAGCAGCATGCCTGGGAAGCGGGGGTTGAATGCACTCATGACTGCCAAAGCCATGCTTGGAGGGTCATCAGAGGCTCGCCTCATCCATGAAGTAGAAATCCTGGGGTGTCACACACAGCCCAGGCCACACCCAGTGCCCTCCCCCTCCAAGCAACACTCAAAAACCTGGCCACCCTGCACATCAGCCTCAGCTAAGGACCAAGTCCCTCCTTCAGCTGATGAGATGCACCAGCCTTGGTGTGGCCCCATCAGTTCCATGCTCCCCAGGATGCTCACATCAATCAGATCAGAGACATCATGGATGTAGTATTTGCTTATAGCTGCGTTGGTGGCTGCCAGGTTCAGCAGGTAGTCGTTCCGGGCCTTTGTGCATTTCAGCTTGTTCTCAGAATACTTTGCCTGCCTCTGGAAGAAGAAAAGAGTAGATGTCAGGGCCAAGCCCACATCTGTAGGCTACCTCCATGCCAGGGAGTAAGGTTCAGAGCCTGCATCGAGATCACTTCACATGGCACCAGCAGCCAGTGACACTATGTGACACCTAGCTGCCTTTGGGTGGTATCAGGGTGGGTTATAAATAAGACCCCTACTCAGCACCCTCCAGTGGTTTCCCAAGCTGCTCGTGACTGCTTCCGGGGAGCTGCTTCTGTTCTGGGCCGCCTGGCAGGGAAGAGCAAGGAGTAAGTAGGGTAGAAAGATATACTTGCCCCTTTCAGACTGATGAGTCCCAGGGTAGGGTAAAACAACAAGTCTCCTGAAAGAAACAGGGGTTTTCCTCTCTCACCTAGACATTCTCAAACCTTCCTTATTCTGATTCGATTTGTAGCTTTTTAGTAGAGAAGCCCCATTGGCAGTCTTTTTTTTATTTTTTGGTAGTGGGGATTGAACCCAGGGACACTCTACCACAGAGCCACTCCAAGCCCTTTTATTTCTATTTTGAGACAGGATCTGTAAGTTGCTAAGGGCTTCACTAAGTTGCCAAGACTGACCTTGAACTTATAATTCTCCCACCTAAGCCTCCAAAGTCACTGGGATTACAGTGTGCACTACCACACCCAGCCAGTCTTTTGATTTTTTTTCCAGAGACCTTCCCTGACTCTTCTCCGAGGTCCTCTTAGTCTGAGAACACCCAGCACACTCCTCTTGACATTTATATCCTGTGTTGGCCATGTTCCTGACCCTCAGGGAAAGCTTTGATATTCCTGACCCATTTCCTGTGGCCCACTATGAATCTGAGACCATTTTTAGCCCTTTGTGGACTCATGAACTTTTATACTTGGAGATGATCATAAAGGCATCTAGTTGAACTCTTTTATTTATAGGTGAGGAAATGAGAATGGGAGAAGCCACTTGTCCAAGAGCCAACTACTCAGCATACGCTCTGAACTAGAAAAGAGTCTCCAAAACCCCAGTTAATCCTCTGTCTATACCTGTACGTTTCCCTCTATGTTATAGTCCTATAATTCATGACTGGTTATTTTAATTTATTTTTACTACATTCATGGAGTTGTACAACCATCACTACCACCTAAATTTTAGAACATTTTTATCCCCTAAAAAGAAACTGCACATATTAGCAGCCACTCCTCATTCTCCTCTTCCTCAGCCCCTGAAAACCAACAGTTGACTTTCTATCTCTCTGGACATTTCATACAAATTAAATTGTACAATATGTGGTTTTAATAACTGTTAGCATGTTTTCACTTAGCATGTTTTCTAGGTTCACCTATGTTGGGCATATGTCAGTGCTTACATCCCTTTTATGGCTGAATAACATTCCATTTTATGGACAGAGCACATTTTACTCATCCATTTATGAACATTTGAGTTGTTTCCATTTTGAGGCTATCATGAATAATGCATCTGTGAACAGTCATGAATATATTTTTACATGGACATGTTTTTTGTTGTTGTTGTTTATTTTGGTACTAGGGATTGCACCTAGAAGCACTTTACCTCTGAGCCACATCCTCAGCTCTTTTTTATTATTTTTATTTTGAGACAGAGTCTCACTAAATTGTTGAGGCTGGCCTTGAACTTGCAATCCTCCTGCCTCAGCCTCCTGAGCCACTGGGATTATAGGTATATGCCACCATGCCCAGCTTATTGTTTTTATTTTGAAATAGGGTCTCACTAAGTTGCTGAGGCTGCCCATGAATTTACAATGATACTGCCATAGCCTCCTGAGTTGCTGGGATTACATGTGTGCATCATACACCCAGCTGCATAAAATGTTTTAAGTTCTCTTGGGTAGACACCTAAGTGTGGAACAGTTGAATCACATGGTTATTTGGTCTCTGTTTTACATTTTTAGGAGCTTCAAGGTTGTTTTCCAAAGTGATATAACATGTTACATTCCCTCCAGCAACATGTAAAGATCCCAGTCTCCACATCCTCACCAATACTTCTCATTGCCTGCTTTTTCATTCTATCCATTCAAGTGGCTATGAAGCAGTATTCCATTATGATTTTGATTTGCATTTCCTTAATCATTACTGATGCTGAACATCTGTTTATGTACTTATTGACCACCTATATATAGCTTATCCAAGTCCAGTTGTGTTTTGTTCCCACTCAATTGCCTACAATTTTTAGAGTTAAGGGACTCTATACTCATAGAATTAGACTCAGAAGCCCAGATAAACATCTGGTGCAATGTGTGACAGATAGAGCTCTGTGAAGATTTCATGGTAGCATAGAATGAAAGAATGTGGCGAATTCAGCAAGAATATCATAATATCATAAGAAAGAATATCCTTTCCAGAAGAAAGGAACCTTAGAAGTCACTTAGTTTAGAATGAGAAGAACAGCGTGTATACTGCCTTCGAACTTCCCTGGCTATGTTTGATGTCACCGAATGATCACAGCACCACTTCTAACAAAGCCTGGAGAGGGCTTTGCAACCCTCCACATAGTGATCTGGGCAGCCATGAGCAATGGATGAGAGCTGACATGAGAGACAAAGCTTTGGGCCATCCCTGTCAGGTCTGAACATTGAGGTTCAGGGGTGCTATAAATGTGGCATTTGCAAAACTCTAAAGACTATTTCAGAGCTGATGTATGGTGATCCTAAAACTCTGGGCTTTGGCTTGGCAATGGCAATTTCACAAAAGGCCCTTCACCAGGGTCCCAGGTGCTGCCTAGTAGCCAGGGCTGCTCTTTCTTGTTGGGACACACTGAGTCCCACTCAACTCTGCACTCTGGTCCTAGCCCACAGCTGGCCTCTGGACCAAGCATGCCTTCCACTAATGCCTGCTGATTCCCATCCTGGGTATGTGCTTGCTGAACATGAATCCCGCCACCCCAGTTCACCTCTCTAGTCAGCTCAGCATCTCTGCTGCCTGTTGACTATGGCACCATCTGAGCTTTAAAAGAGCTGGCAGAGGCCTGGCCAGCCTGCCTCCTCCACGACACTGACCTCCAAGAGAGCAGGTGCTACAGCACCCTTCTGCCCTCACCCCAGGGTGCAGAGGAACAAGGCAGAGCCAAGGCTGTCAGCCCTTAGCTGAGCACACAGCCCTACTTGTCATGTCCTGACCCCCGTCTCTCCCAGCCTGAGGCCCCACTCACCTTCTCCTTCATCTTCTCAATCTTCTTCACAGAGCTGCGACGCTGGGGCCGGTCCTCGTGCCGAAGGAGGTTCATGCTGAGATCTCCTGACTTGTTAAACTGCTTCTCCTCCTGCTTCTCAGCTTCCTTTAGCTTGCTTTCTGCACTAATGCTCTCCGCATGGTACATGTGGTAGGTTTTCATGACCTTGGGATGCACAAATTGGAAACACCAACAGTCTGTCACGGCCCAACATGGTCCCCCCTCCTGCTCCCAGCCCCACCTCAAGTTCTGCACCACATCTGTGCCCACTTCTTCCCGTGACACACCGAGTGTTTGCCATTCTTTACTTTTGCACAAACTTTCTAAGGACTGGAAATGATTCTGATTTTCATCAATAGCAGCTGCTTTGTGACCATCACTATTACTGTTATCACCATTGTCAACATCATCACACTCCTACTGGGTCAGACCAGGCTCGGAAAGAGGAAACTGCAAAAGGTAACCACAGCCCCTGAGCCTTTCGGGTTCTCAGAAGTGATAGGGCAAGCTTGACCTTTCCTCAGTCATCCTTTCCAGCCCCACCAGCTGTGACCTCTGCATCATCACCAGCACCATCATCACCACCATCCCTGATTTGAGCTGGCAGTTTAAGAACATTGAACTTTCAATTGACGTCAGAAAAATGTTACAAACTCTGGAGAACCTTAGATAATGTGGGGAAAAAAATTATTCTCTACTATGTTTCTCTCTCCTTCCTTAATCCTGAATGTCTTACCACCCCAGCCCCCCCCCAAAACTTATAAAACAATAAATGCCTAAAAAAATACAGCCAACTTTTCTTCAAGAACTTGATGGAATGCGTTGTTGTCTGCATTCTACTCATTTTGGTTCGTTTGCAGTTGTAATAAGGGTCCTAAAACCCCCTTCTGCTGATTTCCACTTTGAACCACCAGTTGTTTCAAGGGCTCATTTTCAAACAATTGGGTGGGCCAGAAGCTTGTAGTATCAATGTGCTCTCGACCTCTAGTGGCCAAAAGGAAGGACTGCAGGCTCATAGGAAAGTTATCTGTACCATCTTTCAAGTAAAGAAAACACCCCTAAGAATTGGGAACACCTGTACAGCCTATTCCCCTTCCTGGATGCCCTCCTCTGCCCCTCCACATTCACAGACACCCCTGATTTCTTCACTTCCTCATCACATTGCTGCTGCTGTTCATTTCTGGACCCACCCTTCCTGAGTTCAATGCTTCCTGCCTCATCCACTTTTTCTATTTCAGCTTCTGAGTCTGATTATCTCACCAACAATCTATCATCTGTGTTGAGTAGCTCTCAGAGAGACAGAGCATTTCTATTTGTATCTAGCTCTTCCTGCCCAATCATCCATGCTTGTACCTATCCAATCACTTAGAGGCATCCCAGCTGGACGCCCTCCCCTCCCATATTTCCTGTACCTCATTTTCTCTTTCTCCCTTTGCCTTGTTTTCTTTTATTCTTCTCGATCCACAGAGTATTCGTCCCACTTTCCAACAAGCCAAACTTCCCAGGATAGACTCCTAAATGCATTTCAGAAATCCCATGCGTGGTGAACACAGCCTGAGAACTCTGGGGCCAAGCTCCCTGTGATCTCATGGATTCCTGATCCCAAGGGAAACAGTGAACTCAGTTGCCCAGAGTGATGTGTCAGACAGCTGCCACTAGAGTCTACCTGGGGGCCTCTCTGAGATGAGCTTATTTATACCAGAATCCTATAGCTATTTATTTTCTTTATTGAATTACAGATGTCCCTTGGTATTCATGGAGGATGGGTTCCAGGACCCCCCACAGATAGCAAAGTCTGCAAATACTCAATCCCTTATATAAAACAGCAGAGTATTTGCATAAAATATAAGCATGTCCTTCCAAGTACTTTAAATCATCTCTAGATTACTTACCTCATACAATGTAAATGCTATATACATAGCTGTTGTACTGTGTTGTTTAGGGAATAATGATAAGAAAAAGGTCTGTACGTGATCAGCTTAGATGCAATTTTTTCCTGAAGATTTTTGATCTGTTGTTGGCTGAATCCATGGATACAGAACCCATGAATGTGAAGGGCTGACTGTACCTGGAACAAGAGTTCAGTGTGGAAAGTCTTTAGCTCAATAGCCTAGAAGAGTCTGCTTGATTTTGCCAATCCAGGATGTTTTAAGCAATATTTAAACTTATCTATTACTTCAAAGTTTAAAAACACCTTTCTATTATCTCCTTCTATTGGAGAAGCAATTCAAGCTGTTCTTACCACAATCCCTGGGGCAGCATGATAACAACAAGAGCAGCAGCTGTTTGTTGAGCACTTACTACTACATGTCAGTACTTGTTCTAAGCACTTCTCATATACTGCTCAATTTATTTCCCACAAAAGCCCTATGAAATAGGACCCTGGGATCCCTGCCTTACAGATGAGGAAACCATGGCTTCAAATAGCTCAGGTGAGCTTCTTGAGGTCACAAAGCCAACATGTTGCAAAGCCAAGGTGGCCGTCCCCACAGCCAAGACCTTATAGGCACAGGGCTGTTGTGCCTTTCTGGAACCTTTACTCAACCAGGAAATAGAAATGGATGGGTCCTCTAGCTCACAGGGATTCAGAAGACCTGGTTTTGAGTCTCAACTCAAACTGGGTGATGTGGACAGGCTTTTCCTTTCTGTACCTTCCTGGTGAAGTTCAGATGGGGGTAGATAGAAAAGAGCCCTGTAAACTATGAAAGTGACTAGCTGGTGGCAGCTGGGTGCAGAGCTTGGAAGAGCCAGAAGTGGATGTGGGTGTTCAGCTAAGGCCGAGGCACTGAAACTAGAGGTTTGTGAAGAGGCACCTGTTCCCTTGTTGCCTGGGGAGGGCCTTTCCCAGCCCTGCAGGCTCTTCTGGGAAGGTTCCACCTGAACAGTTCTAGGGAAGGGTGTCATAGGGACATGTAAGCAGAGACCACTATTCTTGGACTCAGTTCAGTTTTATGGATTCTCGGAATATAAGAGCCCAAAGGCTCTCCAGAAATCTTGTTGCATTAATCCCTTACTGAAGGAAGCCAAGGGCTCAGAAATACCAAGTGTGTGCTCCAAAGTCACACAGCCAGCCAGGCAGAACTGAGACCTGCAGGCCACATCTTTGACCCATAGGGATGGCCATTTCTGGTAACCACACTGCCTTTGGCATCTTCCCAGATGTACATTCAAAACTCTAATTTAAATGAAAAGGAAGCAAACGGAATCCAAAAGTTGACAGCATCAATAAAGAGACATGCTGGGGGCAGGATAAGGGTCAGTTGATAGAGAACAGCTTTTCAATGACATAGTCATGTGTGCCTCTCCTGCCCCAGGGGCTCAGCTGGCCCTAGCACAGTAAGCTTTTCACCTCCAGCATCTGGGTATAGGAGAACCCCCAGGACAAGGCATGTGAAGACATCTCAAAGTTTCAGTCTGATCACCTGCTCATTTTCTCTTTCATGGCCTATGTTCTCTGTAGAACTTTATGTCTGCTTTAATTTATTTACTTGTCAGGTTTATAAAGTGTATTGCCTGAATTCTATTCTAATTTGACCTCTTTTTTCCCCTCTTTTTTTTTTTTTTTTTTTTTTTACAGTGCTGGGAGTCAAACCCAGGGCCCAGGGCATGCTAGTTGCAGGGAAGCACTGAATTCCTCCTCCAGCCCCTCTTTTCCCAACTAAAATACCAAGTCCTGAGGGCCAGGACCTCATGTTCATGATGATACTTCCTAAACTAAAACAGAGATGAGTAGCCAATAAGTATTAATTCATAATTGAATGAAGGAATGAATGCTTGGGTGGATGGATTAAATAAATCAATGGTGAGATGGATACAGGCCTAGTCCAAGCTGGTCAAGCTTAGTGCAGTGGCTGGTGGACAATATCAACTGGCTGAGCAAGAGCCTCGAGTCCCATACTCTGGCTGGCCTTTCTTTGATGTCTTCTGTGTTTCCCCTGGGCTTCCCAAATGCCATCTCTCCTCTGTTGCCTCTGTGATGCCCAAGAAAGTGCATCACCCACACCACCTTCCCTGGCCCTTCAGACTATGACAATCCCCACTAAGACACTATGACAGTGTCTCATTATCTGGACACAGCTGGCAACCAATAAATGTATTCTGAGTGAATGAGTGTCTTCTCAGGAGAGTTGAAAGAGGTGAGGAGTTACCTAGAGGGGACCTCATCTCCAGGTCTTCTGAGGATCAGTTCCATTCCATGATGAAACTATGATGGAACAACATGAAGACAGAGGCTTGAAAGGAGCCTCAGACTTCCTCTAGCTCCATGCCTTCATCCCATCGGTGGAGGAAATCAAGGACCAGAGCTCAACTAACTTGTGCTAGGTCAGGATTTCCCAGCATGTGAGAAGGGAATTATTTGTGTAAGCAAGATGATTTCAACATCACCAATATATCATTAACCCCCTTTCAATCTTCCTGGAATCCTTCTGGTGCCTCAGGAGGAAAGACTCAGGGCAGTACTGACATGTGTTTAATGCCTCTTTTTTTTGGCACTGAGGATTGAATCCAGGGGCACTCAACCACTGAGCCACATTCCCAGCCCTTTATATATATATATATATTTATTTAGAGACAGGGTCTCACTAAGTTGCTTAGGGCCTCGCTAAGCAACTGGGGCTAGCTTTGAACTTGCGATCCTCCTGCCTCAGCCTCCCGAGCTGCTAGGATTACAGGCATGTGCCTGCACCCTGCCTGTTTAATGCTGCTTTACAGCTATGCCTCAGGCACCAGTGAGACTGGGCAATGCTACTCGAGTTTCACTGCATCCTCCTACTTATACCACATTCTTTCATTTGCTCACGTGAGATATTATTTTCTCCCCAAAGAAATATATGGACGTGTGGTTGGCCCTCAGTATCCACAGGTTCCACAAATTTAACTAACTTGTGGGTAGAGAACTTTAGGAGAAAAATTGTGTCTCTACTGAACATGTACAGATTTTTTTTCTTATTATTTCCCAAACAATGCAGCATAACAACTACTGATATGGTGTTTACATTGCATAGATATTATAAGTAATCTAGAGATTAAAGTATATACAAGGATGTGCATAGGCTCTATGCAGATATGCCTCTTTATGCAAGGAAACTGAACATCTCCAGATTTTGGTATCTGCAGGGAATTCTGGAAACAATCCTCCTCTGTGAATTACTGAGGGAGAACCG